TAGCCCCATTCATTCAACTAGTGCATTCAAAAGTCCACAGCAGCTAAACTAGACTGATCCATAACATAGACTCCCCTCAGCATCAACAGCATCTGGAACGAAGAGGACCAAGAACCACTTTTGGACCAAGAACCACTGAAGAGCCACTTTTGGACCAAGAACCAAGAGCCACTTTTGGACCAAGAGCCACTTTTGGACCAAGACCAACTTTTGGACCAAAAACCACTTTTGGACCAAGACCCACTTTTGGACCAAGAATCACCTTTGGACCAAGAACCATTTTTGGATCAAGAACCACTTTTGGACCAAGACCCACTTTTGGACCAAGACCCACTTTTGGACCAAGAACCACTTTTGAACCAAGAACCACTTTTGGACCAAGAACCACTTTTGAACCAAGAACCACTTTTGGACCATCCTGTAAAGACGTTTCCAGAGAAAAGAAGACGGCATACAAAAGCATTGGGTAATTCTCTTTCCGGGGACAACCCCACAGGCCAGGAGTGAGATAGCAGCATGGTTTTACAGCTTTACGGTGGAAAACAAAGGTGGCGAATTTTACAAAGATTGGACTCTGCTTAAACAATTAATTGCATCTGAAAGGAAATTGCAATTTTAGTGGCTGCAATTATTTATATACATTCTCTTAATTTTTGTCCCGTTTTATTGTTTTATCACATTCCAGTCTTTTCTAACTCTGTTTTAAGCACAATGGCCTTTTAAATGAAACAAAAGTTATTTATTGTGTGCAAGTGCAATTTCAACATTATTGCACCTTCATAACAAATAGCAATATCTGAAAAAATGCAATGAGAGATGACTGTAAAATTGTGCAGCCTTGAAATGGAAGATACTCTCGAGAGTAAAAAAGGAGTAAAATTATGCAAGGAAGAATCAAAACAGATTTGTTGAAAGGGAACTTTTGAAGATCGAGCAACAATGAAACAAAGAGAACTAAAGAAACTGAACAGACAAAAGAATGGACCAAGGATCTGTGATAAAAACCGTTGAATGAATCTGGAAAAGGTTATGTTCTTAAAATAACACGGGACTCCACTGTGTTTGAAACAACGGCTTTGAACCAAACTCTTTAGTCTCTTCTCTAATGTCGGTCTGAGGCGTCTGTGTAAAATAAGAAAGACCAAGAAAAAGACATTCCCAAAGTGTCATTATAAAGTTTGAAACAGAATAATCCAGAATCTAAGATATTATTCAAAAACTGTGAATCTAATTTTAAAATGTCGCCAAAAGACAGAAAATATGTTATAAATATGTTCCTTTAAAGAACTTTCTAGTCTTGTTTTTCAGATGTGTATTTGATTCTGAAGTTTTGAAAATAAGATAAGATAAGATAAACCTTTATTAGTCTCACAGTGGAGAAATTTCAGAAATCAAATTGATCAAAACAGAATACTCATTAGAAAAGTATCAAAACTGAAAGAAACCGGAAACACATTTAACAACATTAGAACAACTCACTGATGCAGTTTCTTTTATAGTATCTGTAACATTACATTACGGAGGAAATGAAGTTCATCCTCCAAATTATAATATTTTTATATCTTTCGAAATTGGTATTTTACTTTGCAATGTTTGTGACGAAACTAGATTAAAATGTAGACATTAGTCTCTGTTTATGTTAAAACAGGAATTATTATTATGGACTTATTTATTATACTTATTACTATAAGCGTCTCTGAGGGTCCCAAGAGCGCTATATAAGTATGATTTGTTATTATTATTATATTTACTATTATAATTATTACTCATTTATATTTTTATAAACAGTGTGCATCAGAAACTTACAAGTATATTTTTATATATTTAAAAAGAACACATAAACAAACAAAGTAGGTGTTATTTTGGTAAATATAACTGGGATCCATTAAAAAGAGGAAGTTAGAAAAATAAAAGAAATGGTCCAACCAAAAGATCAAAGCTTTCAGATAATGAGTTATTATATAATAACTCATCCACACACACGCAGACACACACAGAGACAGAGACACACACACCCACACACACACACACACACACACAGACAAACACAGACACACACACACACACACACACACACAGAGACAAAGAAAGAGACACACGGTCACAGACACACACACGCGCGCACACACACACACACACACCCACAGAGACACACACACAGACGGAGACAGAGACACACACACACGCACAGACAGAGACAGACACCCACACACACCCACCCACACAGACACACACAAACACACACACAGAGGCCCATACACACAGACACAGAGAGTTTTCAGCCATACAAAACCAGCTGAGACTAACTTTCCAGTTTCTCATTGAAGTGAAAACCCGCCTGAACTCACTGTGACTCCAGAACAATCTTAAATAAGTTTTAAATTAACATAGAATCGTAATAAAACCCAGCGAGGCTCCGCAAACACACTGCTCTCTTACTGTGCACTAATTGTGTTACAATTGCAAAGCACTGAAGCAACACAATCCCCTGTTGAGAAAATGGCCCCAAATAATGAGCATGTGTCTCCATCTCCATCTCCACTGCTCTGGGCTCATCGCTCACAGTCAGAGGGGCCGCAATGAACCAGGAAATACATCCAATGGGGCTGGACAGGACAGATTTGGGGTGTTTTTGCCCCAGCTGTAGCTACAGTAGTAGTTAAATGCTACCGTGTTTGGAGAGAATGAATAATAACATGTAAAGCTTTGAGTGTCCAAAAAAGCGCTATATAAAACTGATGCATTATTTTTATTATTATTATGTCTAGAGTCACCCGCGATTGGTCAAGGGGGGTCGAAAAGGATGCAGAGGGCGTTCAAATTCACCCCAACAGTAAATTTTTCACAAGATGGTTCCAAATCTGCAAGTACAGTGGGGCAAAAAAGTATTTAGTCAGCCACCAATTGTGCAAGTTCTCCCACTTAAAATAATGACAGAGGTCTGTAATTTTCATCATAGGTACAATTCAACTGTGAGAGACAGAATGTGAAAAAAACTCCAGGAATTCACATTGTAGGATTTTTAAAGAATGTATTTGTGAATTATGGTGGACAATAAGTATTTGGTCAATAACAAAAATTCAACTCAATACTTTGTAATATAACCTTTGTTGGCAATAACAAAGGTCAAACGATTACTATAGGTCTTTACCAGGTTTGCACACACAGTAGCTGGTATTTTGGCCCATTCTTCCATGCAGATCTTCTCGAGAGCAGTGAACAAGGACTTTCAACTCCCTCCACAGATTTTCAATGGGGTTGAGGTCTGGAGACTGGCTAGGCCACTCCAGGACTTTCAAATGCTTCTTACGGAGCCACTACTTCGTTGCCCGGGCGGTGTGTTTGGGATCATTGTCATGCTGGAAGACCCAGTCACGTTTCATCTTCAAAGCTCTCACTGATGGAAGGAGGTTTTGGCTCAAAATCTCACAATACATGGCCCCATTCATTCTTTCCTTAACACGGATCAGTCGTCCTGTCCCCTTAGCAGAAAAACAGCCCCAAAGCATGATGTTTCCACCCCCATGCTTCACAGTAGGTATGGTGTTCTTGGGATGCAACTCAGTATTCTTCTTCCTCCAAACACGACGAGTTGAGTTTATACCAAAAAGTTCTACTTTGGTTTCATCTGACCACATGACATTCTCCCAATCCTCTGCTGTATCATCCATGTGCTCTCTGGCAAACTTCAGACGGGCCTGGACATGCACTGGCTTTAGCAGGAGGACACGTCTGGCACTGCAGGATTTGATTCCCTGTCGTCGTAGTGTGTTACTGATGGTAACCTTTGTTACTTTGGTCCCAGCTCTCTGCAGGTCATTCACCAGGTCCCCCCGTGTGGTTCTTGAATTTTTGATCACCGTTCTCATGATCCTTTTGACCCCACGGGATGAGATCTTGCGATCGAGGGAGATCATCAGTGGTCTTGTATGTCTTCCATTTTCAGATAATTGCTCCCACAGTTGATTTGTTCACACCAAGCTGCTTGCCTATTGTAGATTCACTCTTCCCAGTCTGGTGCAGGTCTACAATTCTATTCCTGGTGTCCTTCGACAGCTCTTTGGTCTTGGCCATAGTGGAGTTTGGAGTCTGACTGTTTGAGGCTGTGGACACGTATCTTTTATACAGATAACGAGTTCAAAAAAGTGCCATTAATACAGGTAACGATTGGAGGACAGAAGAGCTTCTTAAAGAAGAAGTTACAGGTCTGTGAGAGCCAGAGATCTTCCTTGTTTGAAGTGACCAAATACTTATTTTCCACCATCATTTACAAATAAATTCTTTAAAAATCCTACAATGTGAATTCCTTTTTTTTTTCACATTCTGTCTCTCACAGTTGAAGTGTACCTATGGTGAAAATTTCAGACCTCTGTCATTGACTAAATACTTTTTTGCCCCACTGTAATTTGTAAAGAGCAGCATACATCAGGGTCACAGCTCGTCTGCGATAATAGAACCAATGTCTGACCCAACAACATCTCCCACATCCACCTCCATATTCCCGGGTCGCAAAAGGTGTTTTTTGCACAGAACATTATCAGAAAATTAAGTACAAATTCCAACGTACAATCAAAAATACACCTGCTCTAGTCCTCAAACAACAGCCAAACCAACCATGTGTCACAATACGTATAGTTTGGTATCAGAAAAGTACAAAAATAAGTACAAAAATTGAATATACAATAAAATATAGACCTGTTTTTGTCCCAAAAACGGCCAAGCCAATCATGTGTGCAGTGTGTCATAATACGTAGAGCTTAGTATCAAAAAGTACAAAAATAAGTAAAAAAATTCAACTTACAATTAAATATGTACAACTGTTATAGTCCTCAAACAACAGCCAAGCCAACCATGTGTCATAATACGTATAGTTTAGTATCAGAAAAGCAGAAAAGTAGAAAAATAGGCACAAAAAATGAACGTACAGATAAATATACTCCTGTTATAGTCCAAAAACAACAGCCAAAGTGTGTCATAATACATTCAGTTTTCACTCTTACCAGGTGCAGAGGCCTCTTGGTCAGGTCCCTCTCCGTGACCACTGTTCCATGGTCCGTGACACATAGTCCTCGCTGGTCCAGGGCCTGGATCACAGCCTGGTGTCCCTGCAGAGGTCTGGATCCATCGGTCTGAAGGAGGAGGCTCCCGGCGCGACAGTACAGCTCGGCCGACAGGAGCAGGCTGCTCACGGGAGGCTTCAGGTGCTCCTGCTCGTACTGGTCTGTGTAGAACGGCTCCTGCAGCTCTGGGGGGGCCCGGCCTGCGAGGGACGGGGGCAAGGTTAACTTCAGAGGGTTATGTAAGTGTGCAGCTATGAGGTCATGGCTGTGGAGGGCATTGGAGCTGTTGTCTGTAGGTTTGATGGAGTTGGAAAGTACTGCTTAAAGAAGAAATATGTCAGATTTTCATTGTTAAAGGGCCATAATCTGTCATCATTAAAGGGCCCTTATCTGTCATCATTAAAGGCCCTAATCTGTCATCATTAAAGGACCCTAATCTTTCATCATTAAAGGGCCCTAATCTGTCATCATTAAACGGCCCTAATATGTCATCAAAAGGGCCCTAATCTGTCATCATTAAAGGGCCCTAATCTGTCATCATTAAAGGACCCTAATCTTTCATAATTAAAGGCCCCTAATCTGTCATCATTAAACGGCCCTAATCTTTCATCAAAAGGGCCCTAATCTGTCATAATTAAAGGGCCCTAATCTGTCATCATTAAAGGGCCCTAATCTGTCATCATTAAAGGGCCCTAGTCTGTCCTCATAAAAGGGCCCTAATATGTCCTTCTTAAAGGGCCCTAATCTGTCATCATTAAAGGCCCTAATCTGTCATCAAAAGGGCCCTAATCTGTCATCATTAAGGGGCGGTTCTTTCCTATAATTTGGGAAAATCCTCCTTTAAACCTTTAAATCAAAAATAAGAAAATGATGGTAAGAGGTTTCATGGGCCTTTTTGTGAACTGTCAACTTCAGCTCAAAAATAGTGTGTTGCACTGTAGGGACAGGAGTTGAAAATTAGCATTTGCTATACACTCTGTATGTGTCACATCAGCTGCATCCTGCAACTATGTATGACTACATTGCCCCTGTCAAATAAATAAAAGAATATATAAAAAATACATTACATTTGACAGAATGCAAAACCACTGAAATGATCTATTTACTTAATATTTTTGAGTCCTTTCAAAACAAAACTATTATTTCCACCTGGAGGAAACCTACACAGAACATGTCATGACAGAATATACAGATAAATGTGAATGGCTGAATTCCAAAGAGCTTTACAATGAGGTGCAGCATGTCTGTATTGGTGGAGCTGAAGTTGGCTGGATGACTCTGTGAAAGTGCCTCAATGGATAGTTTGTATAAGCAAGGCAGAGGGCCACATAAGATAAAACAGCGGGCTGCATTTGGCCCACGGGCCTTGGTTTGGACATGCCTGACCTCATAGCTTCATAAGTCCTGTCGGGATAACTACTACTGTCTGTACATTTTCTTTGCAAAACTGGGGAAATGATTAGGTTTTATCTGTTGAGGGTTTAATGAGACACGGAACAATTACTGCCTTCTGTTTTGGTTTTTATTGCTTTTGAATGAGAGCTATAAAACCTAGAAAGTATGATTTCAATGTGTTTTATCGCAATTACCTTTTTCCATCCCTTCGTATTTCAATATTAGCAATAACTCCTTCTCGTAGCAACACACACTTGGCAAAATCTCTCAGATCTAAAGTGTTATCCACAGACTTAAAAGCGTTTCTATAGTGACGCGAGTGGAAAAGAATCAAACTGGACTGTGCATAAAGCTCCCTGGGAACACCCTTCTGCCTCATGAAAGAAACACACCTCCAGCTACAAATCCAAAAAATCAATTCCAGGTTTTCGGCTTCTTCTAAAAGACAGATTTTCAGTTTTGCACAGACTTTAGCAGAGATTACGGAATATGATGTGTTTGTCTCTTTACACATGTCCTTCCTTTGTTCCTTCAACTGTCAGACTGTACAACAGACCTGTATGATTTAGAAATATGCACTAATGTGAGGTAGGTAGTTATAAATGTGTATAACTGATACGTATGTGTTTATACGGATGTGTTTTCTGCTGCTGGACGCCGGAATTTCTCCCTCGGGGTCAATAAAGTATCTATCGATCTATCTATCTATCTATGTCCATAGATAGACATAGATATGGACATAGATCTATGTCCATATCTATGTCCATCTATATATCTATCAATATATAGATATATATTTCTATATATCTTCCTCCAGCTTCTACTCCTACCAATAAATCAAACCAATACCGATAAATCACATCTGACTGCTTTGAAAGATCTTTTGCATGTAATATTATTCGGATACATCATGATGTACTTACTGATGTAAGTGCAAAAAGAGCAGCTACATTGTCCTGCATCTATATATATATGGATATACTGCATACATGCAGTATATCTGCATACATGCAGTATATCCACCATCATTGTGAGATGGTTATGAAAATAGAAAAGATCGGTGTCTTTTTAGGGTTTCAGAACAACATGGATTGGCTCAGGACACATCCCTGTAGATTGGGACTATCCATAGACTGTGATAAGATAAGATTTCCTTTGGCCCGGACCACCAGTTTCCTCCTTCCTTGGCCGCTCTCCCTCTGCCTCCTCTGCTTCCCTCTGGATGGTCATATATTTTAAAACATCCAATTTCCTCCAACCCAATTGACAACACATCCATCAGTTTTTTTCCTGACGGTAGGAAAACGTGTAATGTTCAATCTGTATGAATCTACTGTGTCACTGTATGCCCCCGAGGCCACAAAACTACTGCATTTGGTCTTCTGTGTTTACTATTTTTAAAGGAGAAATTAAATGTATTTATTTTTGTTCCCTTTTTTCATGGTAATGCAACAAAATATAACAATAATCCAGCAAATACAACAGTAATACATTCCATGGAAGGAGGAACAGGAGTAGGAGGAAGAAAACAATTTTTATATACTCATTTTTATATAAAGAAATTTACAAATGAGATGGAATGAAATGACACAATAGACAGAGTGGATTCTATATCACCCATTTCATTCCAATCAGACTGAGTGGGGTTAGAAAATATAATGTGTAATTGAAGGGCACATGCTGTTCAAAGCAGTGCAAACAATAACCAGGCAAAATACAAGGTTATGTTTAAATAATCTCACTCTAAACACAAACTAAAAGCACTAGACAGACATTTAAACCCGTCTTGTAATGCTGTAAACCGGTATCTTCCAAACAGGTAAACAGAGCCTACCTGTGCCATAGGCTTTGGACACCAGCCATGTGAGATTGCAACAGATTTTTGCCCTGGAGAAGTCATAGTGCTCAAAGGGTTTTAATGCAGGAGCAGTAGGAAGCTTCTTGAAATCCCTGACGTCCAGAACTTCACCCATTTCTCCAACTGGCTTTTCTTAGGACCCGCGGGACCAGCTCCGACGCATCCCACCAACGCAACACCGTGTAGACAGTCACTGGCTCCGATGCATGTGAAGAGAGACAGGCTCAGGTTCTGTGAGGGCTCCTCTTTCTATTCATAAGACAAAGGTAAAAGCAAAGTCTAGGTATTCATCCATCCGTAGACATTGCTGTGTCTGAAGGTCTTTTCTCAGGTTTCGCTCTGAAAACTTCTTCCTTTTGCACTGCGTACTGAATATATATTTATATTTATATATTCTGGCTTGTTTCAGGAGTGTTCCCCTCCCATCTCCGTGGAATAGCGTCAACACAGATCACGTTGGACGCTCTCCGCTTCGGTGGCGTTCCCTGGTGCGGGTTTTCTGCCGCACTGAAGCGAGACACCTCTGCGCATGCGTAAAAGGTTGCTTTCCATGTCATAATGAAAATCAAAATAATGATAATCAATGGAACTGTTTTCTGCAAAGCACTGCGCGCCCAAATGGAATGCATTGCGAAGCTAAACAATGTTCTTACTATAAACATATGGAAACAAAAATATGATCAGAGTTTTTAAAAAACGGCAAAGAATGACAGCCCAAATGACAGTGATTAAGGCCGAAATATAATCCTATCATTATATTTACGGAATCAATAGTTTTGATTAATTTTGTTCTAGAAATGTAGGGCTCCCATAGGACAGCAAAGAGGGACTCCTGTGGACTACAAGATACGTCATCATGGAGTCTGCTGGGTTTTCTGGGAGGAGGGGACAGCAAAAGTATTTATTGAAGTGATAAAATGGTTTTAAAGTATAGTTATTCAATTCAATTTAATTTAATTTAGAATTTTTTTTCATTTATTTTGTTTTGTTTTATTTTACTATTTTACTTCATTTTATTTATTTATTGTTTATTTACTTAATTTAATTTAATTTAATTTAATGTAATTTAATTTAATTTAATTTAATTTAATTTATTTTATTTTATTTTATTTTATTTTATTTTATTTTATTTTATTTTTTTCTATTTTACTATTGTATGTCATTTTATCTTATTGTTATTTTATTTGACTTTGTTTTTTACACATTAGAAAATAACCTGAAATACTAGCATCCTGAGACAACAGACAGTAGGGGGCGGTACACATCTAAGCTGCTGGACATCTCCCGCCAATAAATGAAAGAAGAACAAGTCGTCACATACGTCATCACTCTGCGTCTGTGGTTGTTGGAAGATTCGACGAGGATGTATTTTATTTTGTACTCGCTGCTCAGAATTAAATAATTTATAGATTATTTTAATATATGAGAAAATATGTTTATGCCCAGATCTCTCAAAGCAAAGCGACCAAGTTCTGATTCAAACGTTATTCTGCCAAAGGTACGAGATATTATACTTATTTACACTTTTTCTGCTAACGTTAGAGATTTTTATTTTTATTTTATTTAGTATAGAGTTATTGTTAATTTATCTTGTGTGCTACTCATTCCTACTGTACTGTAACTGGCAACACTGACATTTCCCCGCTGTGGGACCAATAAAGCATCTCTTCATCTTTTACAGAAGAAAAGTAAGAACGATGAAGAGGAGGCTGCTGGTAGTGCTGAGACTCTTGCTCCAAAGGAAAATCTATGTGAGAAAAACACACTGAATGAAGAAAAACATGAATCAGAGGAAGAGGTTACTCCAAAGGTTAATATTTGTGAGAAAAACACACTGAATGAAGAAAAACATGAATCAGAGGAAGAAGAAGAGGAAGAACCTGTAAAGTCCTTCAAGAAAAACCAGAAATGGCCCGAGCCTGGAGAACCTGTCTGTGTAATGTGTGGACGTTATGGAGAGTATATTTGTGATAGCACAGATAACGACGTCTGCAGTCTTGAATGCAAAGCCAAGCATCTGGCAAAACTCGGAGTGAAGACCGAAGGAGAGGTCTTCAACAGAGTCAGTGTTGTTGAAATAGAGGAGTCTACATCTCCCCATAATGCAGCTGCAAGTGTCTCTGAGCCAGAATATTCATACAAGGAAGACTTTTTCATATCGGGCCTGACGGAGGAGCAGGTGAAGCGCCTGCAGCTGGAGTTGGGCATCAACACTGAGGGGACAGATGTGATGAAGCCCATAGTTGAATTCGAACACTGTCACTTCCCGGTGACACTTGCAGCGAACCTGAAAAAGTCTGGCTACGAGACCCCCACCCCGGTCCAAATGCAGATGGTCCCTGTTGGTCTCAGCGGCAGAGATGTCATCGCAACTGCTGACACTGGATCAGGGAAAACTGTTGCCTTTCTGCTGCCAGTGATAATCAAGGCCCTAAAGGTATGTTATTATTTATGTATATATATATATATATATATACTTACATTATAATAGAATCAGATTTATATTTAATTCATTCAGACATTTTAATATTCATTACATGGAAATATATAATGTATAGTTCTGAACATTGTAAAGCGCTTTGGGTGACCTACAAATAAACATTACTTACTTACTTTCTATACTATACACTTTATGTCTGAAATGGACAAATGCAGCTTTTTGTTTTGTAAATCTCTATTTAAAACAAAAAAACAGAAAAGTTGCTAATGTTCAGCTATACAATATAGTTTTCCTTTAAATAACAAAGCATGAAGCTAAGTTCTGTTACAAACAAAAAAGTTCCATTACAAATAAGTTTATACTTTCACTCACTCCTTTTTAAAACTTAAAATTCATATGATTTAACATTTTGTCTGTAAATACATGTTTTAAATAAATAAATGAATAGAATCACAAGAAAAAAGCTTCCTCAGCATTCACTCTCCACATATTTTCTTATAATTGTTTGGGGTTTTTTTCTATTGAATTTTAATACATTTCAAGTTGTAGTAAGTATGATTTTAAAGTATCGTAATGCATTTTGAATCCTTGAGTGATTTTTGAGTTTTTCCATTTTGAGTCGTTGTCTTGTGTTTTAGAAAAAGCTTAGGTCCGTGGGCAGCCCTGCAGCTCTTATCCTGACCCCCACCAGAGAGTTGGCGATTCAAATCGAGAAACAGACCAAAGACCTGATGATGGGACTCCCCAACATGAGGACGGCTCTGCTGGTGGGGGGCATGCCCCTCCCTCCACAGCTGCACCGCCTCAAGAGGACCATCAAGGTACTTTTTATACAGATTCCTAAGTGGCAAACAGGAATTAAAGGCTTCCTGTTTTGGGTTTGAAAAAAGGTGCCAGCACTTTTTATATCACCCATACGAACGGTCTCTCGGGATTTGCACCGTATTAGACTGTATTTTAATGTGTCTGTTAGGAACTAGGTCAGTCAAAGTAAGCAATGCAATTTTTATCTGTAAATTTATACGGAAGGCATATGACTGTATTGTCAAGGAAGAAAGTCAGATCCTGTCAGACCTCTGAAGCTGTGCATGGCAGGCCTGGGTTTAGTTACTGTGATGGCGCGACCGCCTGGGAACACTTCATACTATGCAATTTTATTCTTGTAATAGCCCTAGGTTACAACCAGACGTCATCTCAGAGGATTTAAACAAAACCATTTGTAATCACCAACACAGAGCAGGAGAATCAACCGTTAACACACTCACAGATGAACAATGTCCCCTACAGGTTTTTCGAAATGTTTTAACGTGTCCGGTTCATCATCCAATCCTTTCTGTAGGACACTAACTGTCCAACAAGACCCTCCCCTCGACAAGGACAAACGTCTTTAAAACCCAGTGGGGAAAAAAAAGTGAGAAACCTTGGGCGTAGAACTAGGAAACCCCAGGGAGGGAGACCAGGGCACCAGGTTGCCAGAGTGGGGTGGCTGCGGCGTTAAAGGGCCAAACCTGTGGTTGTGTCCTTAGGCAGTAACACGTCCCCCCACATTAGAATGAGTCTGGTGTGTGTGGTGAATGGTTGGTGATGGTGGGATAGGGGCTGATGGCACAGACGGTTGCCTTGCTTCTGTCAGTGTGCCCAGGGCAGCTGTGGCTACAGTATTAGTTTTAGTCATCACCGTGTGTGGAGAGAAAGAATAATGATGAGATGAGACTTTGAGAGTCTGAAAAAGCACTGTAATAAAACCGAATTAGATGATTATTATTATTATTATTATTATAATCCTAAACTTCTACCGGTACAAAGTATAGTCCGTACACGAGGTCGGAGAGAGCTCCTTGTAAGATTACTATAAGTACAAATAATAATGTGGTAATAATAAGGTTTATAGATTGTAATTGCAACACCAGGAAGACTTATCGAGATCCTAAAGCAAAAGGCAGTTAAACTGGAGATGGTGGAGATTGTTGTGGTCGACGAGGTTTCAGTTTTCCCAACACTACTGTTATACTCAAACTGTTGCGGTGTGTTTTGTCAGAATAGTGATAAATTAACATATTACTCATATTATTATTATTATTATTATGTTTAACGGGTTGAAGATAACATATTACTCATTATTATTATTTATTTTGAAACTATGTACTCTATTATTAGTTTGTTTTATAATTTAAGCATAGTACGCTTTAGGTATGTATGATGTGTAGTTGAACATATGATTCTTCGGTAGGTTTAAGGTGGACACCATGTTGAAGATGGCTTTTCAGCAGCAGGTGCTGGAGGTTTTGGAGCATGTCCCTGAGCAGCATCAGTCTCTCTTAGTTTCAGCCACGATTCCAACAGGGACAGAGGAGCTCGCGGCTCGAATGGTTCAAAACCCAGTTCATATTTCAGTCGGGGACAAAAACCAACCGTGTGCCAATGTCAGACAGATTCTACTGTGGGTCGAGGAACCCTCCAAGAAAAAAAAGCTCTTTGACATACTGCATGTAGGTGTTTTTACTATGTTTTAAACTAGCTTTGTTTTAAACTAGCTTTGTTTTGGGCGACACAATGGCTGAGTGGATAGCACTCTCGCTTCTCAGCAAGAAGGTCCTTGGTTTGAATCCCGGTTGTAACAGGGCCTTTCTGAGTGGAGTTTGCATGTTCTCCCCGTGTCTGCGTAGGTTTCCTCCGGGTGCTCCGTTTTCCCCTACCCCTAAATACATGTACAATAGGTCTGAATGTTAATGAGTGAGTGAAAGAATGGTGTTTGGTTGGAGGCTTTGATGGACCAGTGTGTTCTGGTCTTGCTGAATGGGAAAATATCTAGTTTCTGAACATTGTAAAATGCTTTGGGTGACCTTGGTCTGTAAAATGTCCATCCATCCATCCATCCATTTTCTTCCGCTTCATCCGCTGCCGGGTCGCGGGGGCAGCAGTCTAAGCAGAGACGCCCAGACTTCCCTATCCACACACACTTCCTCCAGCTCGTCCGGGGGGACCCCAAGGCGTTCCCAAGTCAACTGAGAGACATAGTCCCTCCAGCGTGTCCTGGGTCTTTCCCGGGGCCTCCTCCCGGTGGGACGTGCCCGGAACACCTCCCCAGGGAGGCGTCCAGGAGGCATCCTGAACAGATGCCCGAGCCACCTCAACTGGTTCCTCTCGACGTGGAGGAGCAGCGGCTCTACTCCGAGCTCCTCTCGTGTGACTGAGCTCCTCACCCTATCTCTAAGGGAGCGCCCAGCCACTCTGCGGAGGAAGCTCATTTTGGTCTGTAAAATGTGCTATATAAATAAACATTACTTACTTACGTAACTAAACCAGTGAACGTATTATTATCCAAGTAAGTAATATTTATTTACAGTATATAGCGCCTTTCACAGACCAGAGTCACAGTGATTTACAATTGTGGGCATTAGTCTCTGACTCCACACGGGAGCGGGGTCAGTACAGGAGGCACAGACCTATTGTACATGTTTTTAGTGGTAAGGGGAAACCGGAGCACCTGGAGGAAACGCGGGGATAACATACAAACGCCATCATCCTGTTCTGACCGGGATTCAAACCCAGTCAGCCACCATGCTGCCTGCTATGCTTTTCTTTACTCTTGACCACAGTAACAGATCTAATAGTTACATTTATTTATTTAAAATGACAGGGACAGTGTATGATAAACTCTAACCTCAAAGGGAAAGATGCTTTGTACAAAGGCATGGTTCATATAACAGTAAACCCTGTGTGCTTACTGGTTTGTTTCCTTCTGTTTCTTCAGGACGGGAAACTGTACCAACCTCCTGTGGTTGTGTTTGTCGACTGTAAACTTGGAGCAGATCTTTTGTGTGAAGCAGTCTCCAAAGTAACGGGTCTAAAATCAGTCGCAATTCACTCTGACAAGACTCAGTGGGAACGAAACCGGATCATTCGAGTAAAAATTATCATTCACTATAGACCATCGCGAAATAATAACGGTTTGTTATAACGGTTTTTGTATTTTCTCAGAGTCTTTTGGACGGAGACTTTGAGGTAGTCGTGAGCACTGGGGTGTTGGGCCGAGGTTTGGACTTGGTGAATGTGAGACTCGTGGTTAATTTTGACATGCCAAAATCATTGGATGAATATGTGCATCAGGTAAGTGCCACGGCTGCGCTACATTTAACATGGAAGACAAATATTAAATGGTGTTTACTCCCTCAGGTGGGGCGAGCGGGGCGGCTGGGGCACAGAGGCACCGCCATCACATTCCTCAACAACAACAACAAAAGACTTTTTCTGGACGTAGTGAATCGAGTCCAACAAACAGGATCCATTCTGCCTCCTCAGCTTCTCAACTCTCCACATCTTCACGAGCAGCAAAGAAGAGCAAAACTTAAAGAAAACTCTAACGATGTCGTGGTGACTCAAAGTAATATTCTTGACATTATAAAAAAGCATAAAAAATAAGTTTCATCAAGCGTCCTTCATGCCTTCTGTCGTTTGTAAATGTGTTTTAATGTGTCAGAGCAGATTAAAGGTTTTATTAAAGATGATATTTTTTAGAGAAGTGCACTTTTTTGTTTCATAATTAGTACTTTTAGTTTTATTTTTTTCAATATAAAGATTCTCTTTTTAAGTAACTGTATTTCCCTTAGTTTCTTTAAAGTCTAGTATTTATTATATATTACTTTCTGAAAATCAGAGATTGTGTTTTTTTCTGGTTCAATGCAGCTGTTGAAGCATTTGACTTGTTTAACAAAAATAAACAACACATTATTGGATAATTAAATTATTTATTTATTCAAAAATGTATTGAGGTAAATATTTAGAAATTTACCTTGAAAGGTTTTGTAAATAAACATACAATAAATATAAATAATAAAAAAAAAAGTTAAGTATAAATACAAGTATTCTATGTATTCAGAATACAGGTACCACTTTTTCCAAAGTAACGGTATACTTTGTTATGGAACGGAATATATTTTCAAAGTATTTTACACAACAGTATAACTTACAGTTATCTCTAATCAAAGTGTGTGGCGCCCCCTAGCGTCTACTTTACGTCCTCAGTCATAAATCCTAACGTCAGTGAAGATTTCAACCAATCAGCGGGCTGCCTTGTCACTGTTTCAAACCGCTGCGCGCGAGGGCGGAAGTGAGGATCAGAACATAAACAAAGCAGCAGTGTTGGGATTAGGAAAGACACCCGTTTATTTTACTTTAAATACTTTTTTATTTGCGCGTATGCTGCAGCGGTATGTACTTAGACTTATCACAGAATGGAAATGGCGATTTTTTCAAATTAAATTCGAGATGTTAAACTTTAGTAGATCACGTTAGTAATAGTTTCGATTACAATGTCGATCTTCAGTGTCCAGGCGAGGAAACATACTGCATATTACGACCACCTGCTGTCAGCTGGGAGGACGACAGCCCGAGCAGCTAAAGACAATCTCACAAACACATTGGATTCTGCAAACGAGGATCTTAGTGCTGGGTCTGAGAGAAGCAGCGCCAACAGAACCTATGTCGTATGTAAAGGCGGAAATGCACTGCAGTCTCCTCATCACGCACGACTCACGCTACAGAGGAGGTCAAAGAGGAAGTCTGGGGCTGAGGGCAGGTTTGGAGACAGCAGACAGAGCAGCAGCAACACGCCCAAAGTGGAGAAGAGACTGACCCTGCAGAGAAGAACCAGGACCCCGACCTCCATGGAGCAGAGGCTGAGCACAAATGCACGTCCAGCTGCCTCTAAACCTTTGACTGAAGCAAACGGCAAAGAACCCGCTTTGCTTCACAGAAGCAGTGTCAAAGAAAGTGCAAAAAATCGGGTAGAAATAAAGACAAAGATGGCAAACGGCAGCTCAACGCCTGTATTAAAATCTAAACATTTAGAGGAGGATGGCAAATGTTTTAAAACACCCACCAGAAGGACTCAGTTTGAGAAAATATCTACAAAGAGGGATGTGTTTGAGAAGCTGGCAGCAAAGGAGGCTCCTAAACTGATTGTAAAGTCTACAAAGAGGGAAAGATCTAATTCCAGAGTACAAAAAATGTGTGATTCCAAAGATGTCCTAGCTCCTAAAGTTTGCAAAGCTGCAGAGCATGGAGCCACACCAGGAGCAGCCAGGCCCAGCACATCCACTGCTGCTCCGACCCTGACACAGCCTGAAGCAGAGAAGCAGACAGATGACATCCAGATGGAAAACAGTGCAGTTACTGTTGCAGTCCGTGTCCGCCCCTTTAACACCAGGTTTGTTGTTCACTTTTTAATGTCTCCTCACATTATGTTTGCAATATGGTGTGGGCTTCTACCATGGATATATAAAAATATGCTACATGCCAAACATATCCTAATACGATTTAGTATTACAACAACAACAACAAATCCTAAGAATTTTGCACAATTCAAGCTGGTTGTTGTTGTCTGCTCCTCTATTCAGAAATGACAATATTTAATTTAATTTATTACAATTGTGTTTTTAATCTGCAAGTACTTTAATATGCCCAAAGTTATACCACAAGCTTTTAACAACTTCTTTATATATTCTTCAGATTAATGGCCTTTTCCACCAGGCACCGATCTGTATCTCCATTTTTTGTAGAATGGCCAATCAATAACACCCTTCACTCCGGAACCCTTTAGACTTAAGACAATGTCCAAATTTGACTCTGTTAAAAACTTTGTCATATACAGAAATATTGTATGCCTTTTTATGCCTTGCCTGTTTTTAATATGATTTTGGGGGAAGTTTAAAACCTGGCTCATAAGGCACTTGATCTTCTCACTCTCTCCTGACTCAGTTTTTTGAAAATCTATAGTGCAAATGAATCAAATCACTTTTTATTAAATCATTAATTGTTTCTCATTATATTAGTTCTTTTTTAGGGGGAATTTTATTAAGTAATTAATTGTTTCTCATATTTATTCTTTTTTTAGGGAGAATGCAGAAACTCCTTTTCAGGTCATATTCATGAATGGCCAAGAGACCGTGGTCCACCATCCGGACACAAAGCAAAGCTACAACTTCACATATGACTTTTCCTTTTATTCTGTTAATGACGGTGACTCAGCCTTTGCCACTCAGCAAACCGTTTATAATAAATTAGCCAAACCTCTCTTACATCGAGCCTTTGAGGGCTATAACACGTGTCTTTTTGCCTACGGTCAAACTGGCTCTGGAAAGTCCTACACGTGAGTTTGCAGTAGGGCTGCACGATATTGGAAATTATAGCGATATTCGATATGAGTGTTTAGTATCACGATTACAATATTATTGCGATATTTTTGTCTTTCACCTAAAATTGCATCTGCATTGAAACGCAAGAGACATAACAAAAAATAAGCACAACATTAATGCCATTATGCATATATGTATATACTTTTTTGTTTGTGATGTGTCTGTTTTCTTTTTTATCGCGCATCTTTTTGATACGCACCAATATCGCATCGCGATAACAATATTTTTTCCATATATCGTGCAGCCCTAGTTTTCAGTTTTCATTACCATAAAAAAAGCACATTTTAATCATTTGAATACGTTTAAATATATCTCTTTAGAATGATGGGTTTTGGAGACGAGGTCGGCATCATCCCCAGATTCTGTGACGATCTGTTTTCTGAGTTAAAATCCATGAAAAGTGAAAAGGTGGGACCAGTTTGTTTTGAATAGTTCTGTTACCAGTGGATTATCTTTCTGTGCTTTCGCCTCCTTTAGGTTCACTGTCATGTGGAAATGAGCTACTTTGAAGTTTACAACGAGAAGATTCATGACCTGCTCATCACCCGTGACGTTCCCAGTCAAAGACAAATGCCAGTGAGTAGAAAATATTGGATCAGAGTTGTTTACATCTGATTTGGTTTTCTACAATAATTTAAACTAATCTCATTGTGTTTTAAAATATTGAAGAGTTTTTTGATTGATCAAAATTAAAGTCTGTGGAAAAGGGCTTTGCATTTGGGACATTGTGGAAAAAAATGTCTTGTGGTCTCTCTCTATGGACCAATACCATGTGTTTTATATATTTTGTGTCTTACCTGTTGATTCTCTGATCTGTAAGCCGCTGAGATGATGCTGTGATTTAGGGAAAAACAAGAACAAATGGGTTAGAATTTAATAGTTTCAATATTGCAGAGGATCAGAGGGACTGGTGCTGTGAGACTTGGGGCAACTCTGACTGTCACCCCCTGACCCAGAAACAGATTAATAATGAATGAATAAAGGGGAAGACAATGACATGACAATATTGTTTAAAAAAATCAATATTTCAATCCTATTTTAATAAAGTTCTGAAAAGTAAATCTCTTTGTTTCAGTTGAGGGTCCGAGAACATCCAGTACATGGTCCTTATGTCGAAGATCTTTCTGCGTGAGTTTCTTTGGATTTTATTTGAAATGATTCTCGCCCCCGCCTCTGTGTGGAGTGAGAGATAAATGGCCACAGATGTAAACTCTGGTCTGTGAAAGGCGCTACATAAATAAAAATACTTATTTAACTTTTCTCTACTTCACAGTAATGTCGTGACCTGTTATGAAGACATCCAGGTTAGTTTAGCACAAACATCTTTACACATTATAATAAATTACATGTAAAATAAACGTTTATTGATGATACTATAATAATAATAATATATGTGTTTGTTGTTAGGGTTGGTTAAAGCTGGGAAATAAGCAAAGAGCTACTGCTGCGACAGGAATGAACGACAAGAGCTCCAGGTCTCACTCCGTCTTCACCTTAGTTTTGACCCAGACTAAAGTATGACCTGTTTTAAATGACGGTTTGTTATGGAACTGACCTGAGATTCATTGAAACTGTTGTTTTTATAGACTGAGGTGGTGGAAGGAGAGGAGCATGACCACAGCATCAGCAGCAAGATTAACTTGGTGGATCTGGCAGGAAGTGAACGATGTAACTCTGCCCAGACCAGTGGAGACAGACTCAGGGTACAATAATAATAATAATAATAATACATCAAACTTAATAGCGCTTTTTTTATACTAAAAGACGCTTTACAAAACACATAAAAATAAAACATTAAGAAATAAAATTAAGGTAAAGGCTGAAACAGGTGGGTTTTGAGAAGAGATTTAAAGTTCTGTAGTGAGTTTCTGATTGGTTGAGGGAGTGAGTTCCAGAGAGTGGGGGCAGCTGCAGCGAAGGCTCGGTCCCCCAAGGTTCGGTGTTTAGGCAAGGTAAGGCAAGTTTATTTGTATAGCACAATTCATACACAAGGCAATTCAAAGTGCTGAACAAAACAAGAAATCATTAAAATCATAAATAATCACAGAACATTAAAACAAAAGATAAAGATATAAAAAATTGTATGCTAAACAGAACTGTTTTAACCTGGTTTTAAACACTGTCAGAGAGGAGGCTGTCTCACATCTTCAGGAAGATTGTTCCAGATTTTAGCAGCATGAATCTGAAAAGCAGCCTCCCCATGTTTAGTCCTGACTCTGGGCACTAACAGGAGTCCAGTCCCTGTGCTCCTCAGAGTCCGGGCTGGTTCATACGGTACTAACATGTCACTAATATATTTTGGTGCGAGGCCGTGGAGAGACTTGTACACAAGCAGAGCTGTTTTAAAGTCTATTCTCTGAGCCACAGGAAGCCAGTGCAGAGACCTGAGAACTGGACTAATGTGGTCGTACTTCCTGGTTCTAGTCAGGACTCGAGCTGCTGCATTTTGAATGTACTGCAGCTGTTTTACAGCCTGTTTGGACAGACCTGTGAGCAGGCCATTGCAGTAGTCTAACCTACTGGAGACAAGTTTAGTCCTGATGTAAATCGGCGACCGTTTAACCGGTGGTTGACCGTCACAGCGTTAACCGGTCAAAGCTGTCGGTTAAAAAAGAGAAAAAGGGGAGAGGGGAGGTCTTTTAATAACGCTATTTTAAGCCCTATTTGCACGATGTGACGAGCGGGTCCATATCTAGCTGTGTGCGCCCATGTATTATAAACTCCGGGCCAACTCTCACGCCGCACGAGCCACATATGCACACACGCGCACACGCACGCGCACGCGCACACGCACACACACACACTTTCCCCCTCTCCATACGTAACATCCACACGCATCATCTCTCCCCTCTGTTACCGTCAAAGTTGCACACTGGCGCGGGTCAGAACTACATTGGAGCTTACATTTACATACACACACATATACATACACACACACACACACACACACACACACACACACACACACACATAGCGGGCTGTCGCGCTCCTCTGTGTCACGGAGCCCAAAGGATTCGCACAAATACACGGCTCCAGTCAAACCACATGGAACATGTTTGTGTTTATGGTCCTCGGGATCAGCTCCACACACATCACTTGTATTTAAACTTTTGTGAAGACCTGTGAGACGCGGCTCGTCACTCGCTGCTCTGACCATGTGAACGAGCCGTCGTTTGCTGCTAGAAAGTTTTGGTATTAACCCGCAGCACAGCAGAATGGGAAGATTAAAAAAGCAGTTCTCTGTGCGCAAAGGTGCCGGAGCTGTTGCTGGTTTTGGTGCCGCTGTCTCAACTCTGATCCAGTAGAACGCAGAGCTGCACTTATGAAAAGTACGCGGCTCGAAATGGCTGTTATTTCAAAGAACGTGGACTATTTTAAACTACGCGGTTAACCGGTTTCAACCGGTTAATGAGGCTCGGTGGTCGGTCATGAAAATTCATAGTTTTTTACATCCCTAGTCCTGATGGGAGTGAGGAGGTCTGAGTCTGTGGATCTGAGGCGGCGGGAGGGACAGACGATAAGATATTCCTTTATTGGTCTCACAGTGGAGAAATGTCAGTGTCATCTTTGCACATTACTGCAGAGAAAGAAGGAAATAAGACTCGGATAATAGACAATATAATTAAAATAAAATCAAAAATAAAATAAACTCTGGAGCTATAATGTCACTTGGTTCAGGAGTATTTACAGATGTGTTTATTGTACTTTAGCAGTGGAGAATATGAGCAGAATAAACATCAGTAATAATATCAACAGGTAAACTAGTGAATGGCAGAAGTATCAGATGGATATGTAATAATGCAGTAATAATAATAACAGTAAAGTGACCAGTGACTATGTTACTGGTGAATTATTTTGCAATCTGATTTATGTAATGAAATAAATGTACGGCTGTTCACTAATCCATACTATTTTATTTCCATAGGAAGGAGCCAGTATCAACAAATCCCTTTTAACTCTGGGGAAGGTCATATCTGCCCTTTCTGAGCAGGCTCTGAGCAGAAAGAAGGTCTTCATCCCGTACCGAGAGTCTGTTCTGACCTGGTACGTCCGCCTCATGCACAGTAATTTTAAACACTTTCCTAATCGTGCTGCTGTGGTCTTTGACTTCAGGTTGTTGAAAGAGAGTCTTGGGGGTAACTCGAAGACAGCCATGATTGCCACGCTCAGCCCGGCGGGAAGTAATGTGGAGGAAAGTCTCAGCACCTTACGCTACGCTCAGCAGGCTCGAACCATCATCAATGTCGCCATGGTCAATGAGGACACCAATGCTAAACTCATCAGAGGTATGACACCTACATATTATATCTAGATCTTATAAACATATTTAGAATTGAAAAATTTAATTTGAAGGAAAATTATTATTCCAAAAAGTTTTTCCAGTTAAATCCATTGTGGTTTGCCATAAAATGTGCTATTTTGGGACTTCTAGTATTATTTTCTTGTACATATTTACATCTCCATCTCTCTCAACCACTTGATCTGTTTTACATTGGATTTCTTTTAGTTCTTGAACGTTTGCTTGTACTGCAGTTACACATTGGGCCTCTAGGGGGAGCTGTTGTATCTTGAACCTGATCATCTTAGAAACTTCTGCTTCTTGCTCATTTTGTGGAAAATGTGTTTTTTAAATTTTATTCTTTTTAGAGCTCAAAGCAGAGGTTGAGAAGCTAAGAGCTGCCCAGATGAGCGCCCAAGGTGTGGAGCCTGAACGGGTCAAACAGTTTCAGCTGGAGATTGTGGCTTTAAGGAATAAACTATGCCAGCAAGAAAGAGAAATGTTAGAGGCTCACAGGTGAGTAGTAAATGCACCCATATGACTGTACATCCATGTGACTGTACATCCATGTGACTGTACATCCATATGACTGTATATCCATATGACTGTAGATCCATGTGACTGTAGATCCATGTGACTGTAGATCCATGTGACTGTACATCCATATGACTGTATATCCATATGACTGTAGATCCATGTGACTGTACATCCATGTGACTGTAGATCCATGTGACTGTACATCCATGTTACTGTACATCCATGTGACTGTAGATCCATGTGACTGTAGATCCATATGACTGTAGATCCATATGACTGTAGATCCATTTGACTGTATATCCATATGACTGTATATGACTGTATATCCATATGACTGTAGATCCATATGACTGTATATCCATATGACTGTATATGAATGTATATCCGTATGACTGTAGATCCATATGACTGTATATCCATATGACTGTATATCCATATGACTGTATATCCATATGACTGTAGATCCATATGACTGTAGAGCCATATGACTGTATGGATATACGTCATATGGCTCTACAGTCATATGACTGTAGATCCATATGACTGTAGAGCCATATGACTGTATATCCATACGACTGTATATGAATGTATATCCATATGACTGTATATGAATGTATATCCATATGACTGTAGATCCATATGACTGTAGATCCATATGACTGTAGATCCATATGACTGTAGATCCATACGACTGTATATCCATACGACTGTATATCCATACGACTGTATATCCATACGACTGTATATCCATACGACTGTATATCCATACGACTGTATATCCATATGACTGTATTCTTAGGTTTCATTATACTGGCCAGCAGGGGGCGAATGAGCAGAGGTGGGACAACTCAGTTTTGTTCCCATTGAAAACCATGTAAATTGTGTCTGTTTTGCAGTCAAAAGGCTCTCATCCTGTGCGGTGTATGGTTGTTGTAACAGTCTTAATTGGGGACACTCAATTCTAAGAGAGTACTAACAAATATTTCTCAAAAGATTCTTGATTTTGGGCATTTTTGGAAAGAATTGCTGCTTTTCATTGGGGTGGTCTGCAGGGGGCGCTTATATAGGAAAGCCTTGATCCACCTCACCCGCCTCATTCCAGTCTCTTCCTTTATATGAGACAGCAGTTGGAACATGAAGAAACTATTGTCTTTCTCTCTATTTGCACGGTTGCTACAAGCGTACACCGCACAAAAAGATGGCATTTTGACAGCACTTCTTCTACTATATCTCCGTGTATAAACCCGGCAATCCTACGTTTGTTATTCACACCACTGCCCTGACGTCATATGAAACTCAAGAATATCTATGCCCTGGGGTAAATGAATCTTTTGGAAAGATTTAAATGATCAGATGAAGAAGATGAAGATGAACCAGAATAGTCATGGTACATATTCTGAGGTACATTTTACTTTGTCTCTCTCTTGTTCAGGGCATGGAGAGAGAAACTGGAAGAGGCTGAAGTCCGTAAACGTGAAGAGACCAAAGAGTCCCATGTAATATTTTTTGCACATGAAAATATATATTATGTATCATTCCATCTTTGTATTGTATTAAATGTGTTTATTGTCTGTATTATATTTGTTTTTTTATCAGAAAGCTGGCATCACATTCAAAGTTGATAATCGCCTCCCAAACTTGGTGAACCTGAATGAGGATCCACAGCTGTCGGAGATGCTTCTGTACATGATCAAAGAAGGAAACACGACTGTGGGGAAACTGAAATGTGATGCGACCCATGACATTCAGCTGACGGGAGCTCTGATCGCCGATCTACACTGGTACAAACTACCTCAACACTGTTTTTAATCACTTACAATAATGACCTTTTCCTTTAGTGTTATAAACAATGTGCATGATACGGTCTCCATTACTCCCATGGAAAATGCCAAGACCTTCGTCAACGGAAATCTCATTTCTGAAGCTCTGGTCCTTCATCATGTGAGTCTTCCTCGTTCATGGGTTTGAACAGACTCATTAGACCCAGTTTGTTTTTATGTTTTTTTATATCATTTTAATCAATGAAAATTAATTATTATTTAAAAAATGGGGCGACAGTGGCTCAGTTGTAGAGCATTGGCCTGTGAGTCTGCAGGTCGCGGGTTCGATCCCTCTGCTGTCATTGTGTCCTTGGGCAAGACACTTAACCTCTGGGAACAGAGGTGCCACACTGGGGCGGCTGCGGCTGTAAAGTGCCAAACTGTGGTTGTGTCCTTAGGCAAGACACTTCCCCCACATTAGAATGAGTGGTGTGTGTGTGAATGGTTGGTGGTGGTCGGAGGGGCCGATGGCACAGACTGTTTGCCTCGCTTCTGTCAGTGTGCCCCAGGGCAGCTGTGGCTACAGTAGTAGGTTATCACCACTGTGTATGGAGTGAAAGAATAATGACATGTGTCTTTGAGTGTCCACAAAAGCGCTAAATAAAACCGATGTATTATTATTATTTGTTTAATTTCAAATCATCTTGTACTACTAAGCTGTGAGTTGTATTACATTGAAAAATCTGAATAAAACATATATTTGGGAAAAAATAAACAAAAAAATAGAAAGTGTCTCATGGTGAATGTTGCGTTTTCAGGGTGATCGGGTGATTTTGGGCGGAGACCACTATTTCCGCTTCAATCATCCAGCAGAGGTTCAGTCCGGGAAGAGAGTGTCTTGCTGGACGGGGGCTGGTGATGGACAAAAGGACTTCGAGTTTGCTAAAAATGAGATGCTAGCGGCTCAAAGAGCAGAGTGAGTCTAAAGCTGCACGTTCACCATTAAACATGAACCAGCTCAAACTTGTCTTTTTCTTTTTAAGACTGGAGGCTGAAATTGAAGAAGCCAATTTGAAAGCTAAAAAAGAAATGATGCAGGGAATACAAATGGCTAAAGAGGTGGCTCAAAAGGAACTTCTGGATCAAAAAGCTCTTTATGAAAACCGGATTAGGGCTCTAGAAAGAGACCTGGTACGAAAGACATGTATTTGAGAAAACGTATATGTATATTATCTGATACATGATGTCTTTTCTCAGCTTGCAGAAAGCGATCGTAAACGTCAACAAGAGCTAGACCAACAAAAGATGGCCAGTCAGATGCAAGATCTCAAAATGGCCAAGTACGAGTTGGAACAAGAGGTTAACGGGGAAAGAAAACGCCTCCGTTTGCACATGGAAGCCCAGGTCAGACACTAAACCTCCTCTTTCTCTCTGGGCCTCGACTCTTAGCACTTATTTATACTTTTCATAAGAGTATTCATTCATTCATTCATTCTTTTTTTAATCAAAATGTCTAAAATTGTTAGACTTAGTGGAGTATCAGACTTTATAATTGGTATTAAAAGCAAACATAAAATCTTCACCAGGAAATATTAAACTGTTAATTAGAAGGGAAGAGTCGTACAATCTGGGACACAAAAGTAATTTTACGGCCATAAATGTGAGGATGACTAGAAAAGTAAGTAATGTTTATTTATATAGCACCTTTCACAGACCAGAGTCAAAGCGGTTTACAATTGTGGGCATTAGTCTTTCACACCAGTACAGGAGGCACAGACCTATTGTACATGTTTTCAGTGGTAGGGGAAACCGGAGTATCCAGAGGAAACCTACGCAGACATGGGCAGAACATGCAAACTCCACTCAGAAAGGCTCTGTTTGGACCGGGATTCGAACCACTGAGATTCTGGACCTCAGTGTGTGGAATACATTTATGGAACAGATTGTCTGTGGAATAAAAAAATAGTGATAACAAAGATATTTAAAAATAGTTTTAAAAATACATTCTTCAAGTGTTATGTGGAACAGAGACCGTAAGAAGGAAGCAAGGATATGTATGGATGCAGTTGTTTATGAAGTTAACATTTTGTCTGTATAAACCAAGCCCCGGTGATCCAAGATGGCGCACTATTCAAATGAATGGCTTGTGCTCAGTAGCGCATGGGACTTCACAGGGACCGGGAGATTAGCTGAACTCGCCTATATTTTGGCATCGTCTGGTCCTCCCGGTTTTGCGCAGAGAGTCAGAGCGGGAAGGAAAGGAGCAGAGTTTGTGGCAGTAAAGTGTGGATTTAAAGAAAACCAAAGGTTTTAAGAAGAAAAAAAGGGACACTAAAATCCGACCTTTATGAAGGTTCTCTGTCAGCTGAGGTTGTGCTTTTTTAGTTTACATTGAGTTCTATGGGACTTTTTTCTGGGTAGCCCACGTGAATTTAGTTTGCAGTACCACAGCGCCTCCTGTGCCCATAGGTCAGGGATTAAAGAGTTCCGTCTAGGTGACGGATTTCCGTCAAATGAAATTGGTCTGGAAAAAAAAAAAAAAAATATATATATATATATCTATATATATAATGATAATAATACACACAATGAAATGATTGATTATAAAAATAATATATAGTAATACATATACGTGTGAATCTGTTATATATATATCGATGTATAATAATAATTTGAATATAATTGTATTTATATGTATATAGAAATAATAAGTAATATAATCACGAGTGGGCCTTGAACGTGCCGTGGCCACATGAGCGCTCCGCAAATGAATCAAGGCAATGGGACGTAGCTGAGCTCACGCGCAAATGAAGACGCGATGAAGTTAGCATTGGTAACACGGAGGTGAAAGTTTCTGGAAACTGCACGGAGCTTTTGAAAAGGAGAAGAGGAGGAAAATTGAATCTCGAACGGAGCAATAACAGCAGCAGATCCGCGGACTGGTAAGCTGGGCGCGTAATAGAGGAAAGGTAATTAACGTTTACCAAACGCAATGCTATTTTACTTAACGGAATGTACAAAACGGACTTTGCTGCAACTGGGAATGGGGACAAACATGTCTTGGTGAGCTTTTGATATTGTCTTGTTTGCGATCTTCTTGCAAAACTCAGCGTGATGTAAAAGAGCCAATCAATGAGTCATGGTGCGAAAAGATGAAAGTGGCCGGTGCTTGTGCGTACTTTGCCATAAAAAAATTGCATGTATGGGAGTAATGAGAAAAAAGTTTTGATTCGCCACCAGCTCAAAACTGCGCACAAGGCAGCTGTTTGTGCACTTTCCCACACTTCATCTTTACCTGGTGCATCAGCAACAACTGACACTAGGCTTGCTCTGGCGGACCGTGTCTGTGGCTTTATCGCAGAAAATAACGTTCAGAATATCACTACCGGTGGTAGATTTATTTAAATCATTTGCAGTTGATCGAAGTGCACTGTGCACTCAAACTTGATAGGGAAACCTTTTTCTTAAATATTGACGTGTCCACAAACAAATGTGGACAGAATTTTATCGTCCTTTTGCAATATTTTGACGAGGACAGAGCCAAAGTGTTGACGCTCCATATTGCCTCAAGTAAAGCTACTCTCACTAATATTCTGTCAAAAAGTTTACTCGTTGCTTGATCCACTTATATTTCATATCAAAATACACTGTATATCTTTGAAGAATTCATTTGAGCTGTATTCAATATACAATCTATTATACAATAATATATTGTAATTACAAATATAACTTGGTCCTGCATATTACTGTGATTTACATGTGATAAATTTCCATGCGAAAATTTTCAGTCAAATCTTTGTTTTTTGCTTTAACCCCTGCCATAGGTGGGACAGCTATAAGCTAGTAATACCCTATCCAGTTATTAATATAGATCCATGGGATATACATGTTTGAAATAAATACAAATACAAATAATTAGTATAAAGTGCTTGACTGATATATTAATTTTTTTACTATATCGGCCTTCCATCTTCAATACATGATATGTCTTGTCTTCAGGTTCTTCTACTGTATTGTTCTTATCACTGGCAAAGGTTGACTTGGATCTTTCTTTTTACAAATAAATGATTCCAAATGTCACTTTCAGGCCATGGAGGAACACAGAGTCTCTCAAGCCAAGATTGTGGATGCCTTGGAGCAAGAGAAAAATAAAATCAGCAGAGAACTTGAGGAAATCCAAAAGAGAAAGGCTTTAAGAGAAAACCAGAAAGAACGTTTCAGAACCGGTGAGTTTAATACATTTGACGATTTAATGAGTTTGGTTTTTGTCTATTTTAAAATGAATTGTTTTGTAGCTTCACCTAAATGGGATTCAATGAAGCTGTCTTTAATGATCGAAGAAGCCAACAAGATCAGTGCAAAGCTGAGGAAAAACACTCTCTTCAGCAGGTTAGGGCTGGTGTCTCGAGGCTAAAACTATGACATCACTCCTAAGTCATTCCTTTTTCTCTGTTGCAGACATGAAAGCACCGAGAACGATCATGGAGGGCTGCATGTCCGAGTACAAAACACTAAACTTGGCATCTCCACTTTTTGGACCCTAGAAAAGTTTCAAAACAACATGGCTGTCATGAGGGAACTCGACCAGGTTTGTGTTTTTGTGTCATACCTAAAATAGTAAGTAAGTAATGTGTATTTATATAGTGCCTTTTACAGACCAGAGTCACAAAGCGGTTTTTACTATTGTGGGAATTAGTCTCTCACTCCACACAGAGATGGGAGCGGGGCCAGTACAGCAGGCACAGACCTATTGTACATGTTTTTAGTGGTAGGGGAAACCGGCGCACCCGGAGGAAACCTACGCCGACATAGGGAGAACATGCAAACTCCACTCAGAAAGGCCCTGTTCCGACCGGGATTCGAACCCAGGACCTTCTTGCTGAGAAGTGAGAGTGCTAACCACTCAGCCACCGTGCCGCCCAAATACTGAGAATATCAATGAAACTGAACCCAAACTATTGGATATATATAACAGGGGGTTTTAGCTCTATCTCTGCTCCAACTATTGTCTATTTCTTCTCTGGTTCCAAAGTTTGACCCAGTGTGAGCGGGTCCTGGCTCCAAAAGGTTCATGAGCACGTGCCCTGACATGCTGCAATCTCCTCCCCCCCGGTGGGGGTGTACCTGGAAAGAGAATTACCCAATGCTTTTGTATGGCGTCTTCTTTCCTCTAAAAGGTCTTCACAGGGTGGTCCAAAGTGGCTCTTGGTCCAAAAGTGGCTCTTGGTCCAAAAGTGGCTCTTGGTCCAAAAGTGGCTCTTGGTCCAAAGTGGCTCTTGGTCCAAAGTGGCTCTTGGTCCAAAGGTGGCTCTTGGTCCAAAAGTGTTTCTTGGTCCAAAAGTGGTTCTTGTTCCAAAAGTGGTTCTTGGTCCAAAAGTGGTTCTTGTTCCAAAAGTGGTTCTTGGTCCAAAAGTGGTTCTTGGTCCAAAAGTGGTTCTTGGTCCAAAAGTGGTTCTTGGTCCAAAAGTGGTTCTTGGTCCAAAAGTGGTTCTTGGTCCAAAAGTGGGTCTTGGTCCAAAAGTGGGTCTTGGTCCTCTTGGTTCCAGATGCTGCCGATGTTGAGGGGAGTATTATTGTTTTGGACCAGTCTAGTTTAGTCGCTGTGGACTTTTGAATGAACTTGTGAAAAATACACATTTGTGCATGTGTTAGCTGCACTAGCCCCAATTATTTAACATTTTCCAGCCCAGCGGCCATTTTGAAAAAGCCACAGAAGACAAAAGTGATGTCACATTAGTTCCAACAGCGGAGAAAGGCGTCACTACATCATTATTATGAATATTTACAGTCTGTGCAATAACAGCAGTGATTTAAATCTGTGCAGGAGAATTCTTCCCATAAAGAGGACGATGTGTTTTATGGCCCTGATGATGAGTGGGAGCAGGATATATCAGCCGCTTCCACTTCCAATCTGTCCCGTCGCAGGTGCTTTCTATTATACACTCAATTAATTTGTATATTTGTTGGATTAGAACTACATTTGCATAGAACGATCTTTCTCATGAACGTCTTGATGTCTTTTCAAGGAGTAAAAGTTTGTTAAAAAGCAGAAGAATTTCCGGCAAACTCTATGAGATCAGAGTTCATCCAATCCAGAGCCTGCTTTCTGGCCCCTCCCATTCTGCAGGTAACAATATACACTGTAAAAACGCTGAGTTATTTTCAGCTCGTCACTTTCACAGATTATATACAGTACATATGAGTTTTTAATTTTTAAGGGAACTTCGTCACAAATGTCTGAAAAAGTGCTTTGTTACTTTTGTCTTTTATGAGTTATAGGTCTGATAAATGTTAAGGTCTTTATTATTTTAAATTTTTTATTAGTTGAGTTTAGTCTCTATTGTTCTCTTCAGGTTCAACTTATGTCCTGCTTTAGTTTTATTATTCAATTATCAGTTAAATGCTTAGTTTTTTCAGATGCACTTTGTCCAATTTCACTTGTTCATCCAAACAGGCCACAACTATTTATGTCCAAAATAAAACATTTGTTTGTATTATAAATGGACCCTGGCCTGGGGCACAATGTTGAGGACTTCTAGGTTTTCTTCTTTGTAATTTTTAATGTTTTATATTCTGTGCTTTTAATATTGTGTTCGATGTTTTTTTAAATATTGTAAGGCGTCCTTGGGTATCTTGAAGGGCGCCATAAAATAATATGAATTATTATGATTAAAATATTACATAAAATAAAATATAAAAATAAGTAAAATAACAACAACTTATTATTTTATTTCCCTAAATCACGACAGAAGTCATCTCAGAGACTTAACAAAACCATTGAAATCACCAACACAGATCCGAGAATCAACAGTTGAGACACAAAATATACCATATGAATTGGTCCATAGGGAGAGACCAATGTCCATACATGTTGATAAATGTCATACATGTTGATAAATGTCCATACATGTTGATAAATGTCCATACATGACACTAACTGTCCAACAGACCCTCCTGCATTGGCAAGGAAAAACAAAACAAAAAACCCAGTGGGAAAAAAGTGAGAAACCTCAGGGAGACCCACATTGAGAAAGGGATCCACTAAACACGGACGGGCTAATGATCCAGCAGGACCTAAGCTACAGAACGTGGACCAATGCCACGCAGCGGCCGCAGAGCGTGGACAGGTCCGGTACAGGACTGAGGCACTCCTAGGCGGGTTGGGCAGGACAGTCCGCTGGTGTAGATGGAGAGGGCCGGTTCAGAGGTTTAGTAAATAAATTGTATTAATACTGCTTAATAAAAAATAATAAAAAGGATCTGTCAATAGAACAAGAAGATTTCTGAAAATATTAAAATAAAACAAGCCCCAAACGAATTTATTCTAGTTTAAAAACATACATTTAAAGTATTATTTACTTATGATAAAATATGAGGTAAAAAAGGCTTGAATTGAGTGTTTTTATTCTTTATTTGAGTACATTCTGATTTTCTTAAAACAAGATTTGTCAATGGAACAAGCCGTTTAGTCTTATTTCAAAAACTTGCTATTTTCTCATTCCAAGAGAGATATGTCTTGTATATTTTAGAAATAAGATAATTTAGCTTGTTCCATTGGCAAATCTTGTTATAAGGCAGTCAGAAAGTGCTCAAATTAAGATACATTTTGCAAATTTGAGCAATTCTGTTTTTATTTTTTATCACGTTTTGCAGTGCATTTTTTATGTTTTCTTAGCATACTAAGCATCACAAACTTATTTTATCTAAACAAGAAAAGTCTGGAAGTAAGAAAAAATACTTCTACATCTTAAAAAATCACTGCTTAGACTTTGTAAACTTATTGATCCACAGGGAAATTGCGTTGGCACAGTGGCTTGCTTAATATTCCACATAAAATAACAATGAAAAAAGGTTACTATCTGAAAATAATAATAATAATAATAAGATAATGGATTGTATTGATTGTTCCCAGGTTTAATGGGAGGCCCCAAACCCCCGTCCACCTGTCCGACGTCGGCGGACGCTGCCATCCCAGGGATCTGCAAGGATCTGATTGGCCGGTCCGCTGCGTTACTCGGCCGCTGCAGTGAGACGGAGGACAGTTTGGTGGACCGACTGGCCTCTGACCTGTGTGTGCTCTACTCTGCAGCACAAACCATCTCTGACCTGTACGAAGGCCTGGACGAGGACAGTACTGACAACGGTAGGTTTTATAATAACTTTATTCATCTCTCACTGCAGAAATGTAAATGTCACTTTAGCACAGACAGAATTAATTTATGTATTTGTCCATGCCATATAACATACTTATAAGATAAGATAAACCTTTATCAGTGAAACAGTGGAGAAATTTCAGTGTCATCGTTGCGCACATTACAACAGAGAAAGGAAATGAGAGCACTCAGATTGCACACATCAGATTGAGTCTATTATTTAAGGTAATAGACAATAAATTTAAGATAAAATAAAATAAAATGAGATAAACTCTGGGCTATAATTGCACTTGGTTCCGAGTATTTACAAATGTCTATATTATACATTAGCAGCGGAGAATATGAGCAGAATAAACATCAGAAATAGTATCAACAGGTAAAGTGACTTGAATGGGAGAATTATCAGATGGATATGAATAATACAGTAAGATATCAACAGGTAAAGTGACTGGTGAAAGGCAGAAATATCAGGTATGTAATAATGCAGTAGTACTGATAACAGGTAAAGTGACTAGTGACAAAGTTACTAGTGAATTATCAGTGACTGATTAGCAGTTCCTGTTACACGTTCTCGTTGTACAGTCTGACAGCAGCAGGAAGGAAAGACCTACGGAACCTCTCCTTCACACATCGAGGGTGAATTAGTCTGTCACTGAAGCTGCTCTCCAGAGCAGAGAGAGTGTCCTGCAGGGGGTGACAGTCATGGTCCAGCATAGATGTTAGTTTGTCCAGGACCCTCCTGTCCCCCACCTGCTGCACTGTGTCCAGGGAACAATTTAAATGTTTTCCTTTCTATTCAACAACAACAAACCTACTGCATACTTTAATATTTTCGTTTTCTTCATATTTTCTTCATATGTCCTTACGATAATTTTTTTTTAAATGGAAGACATTGGAGGCGCATTTCAGTCGCTCTGTTCCATAATCGAACATTAAATACACACACTTCTGTTTCATCGAGGTTCTTGCAAATGGAGTTTTTAAATCATATTTTTTTTTGAGTGTGATATAAATTTGAATCTCTCTTGAACGGCTTCAGGCAATAGTTTGTGTTTGTCTTTCCACACAATTAACAACATTTTAAGATCAACCAGATCATTAAACTAAAGTTGTCTGGATTTTTATAAACAAGTTATTTGTGTTCTCTCCTTTTTGTTTTTGATTCTAAAAGTTTTTTTTGTAAGAGAAACTCAGGTTTTGTGTTTATAGTATACGTGTTTTCCCAGACTTAGGCACAATATGTCAGATATGCCAATATCAAGGAGCACTCAGATTGTGAATCACTCAGATTGTGCAAAAGACAGAAGTGTGAAACATGTTAAGGTTAAATATGTGCAGGATATAATTATGTACAATAAAAAGTGTCAATAGCAGCAGGTTTTCAGTCCTCGTGCATTCGTGACTTAAAGTCACTTATTGTATAGTCTCAGGGCTTAAAGTTTTCCGGCACCGTGCCGGAAATCCGGCGTGAGAAAAAAAAAAAAAAACATCACTTTTTTTTTTTTTTTTTTTTTTTAATATATATATAAATAAATAATGATTGCTGTCATTTGAAAAAGGTTCAAGTGTGTTCTACCAATTGTATGAAAGGATTGCATGTGTATACATAGTTCCCACAGACCAATGAATGTCACATGACCTCCTCGGAGACGCCATCTTTGATGGCACGCTGCTGCGTTTGTGCATTCCATTAAACAGAAGAATGAGAATAAATGTAGATATTCAAACGCAAATTGGAAAAAAAGGGCAACTTTTGAGCAAATAATTGTATATTAATACAATGGCACCACAGTTTAACGTGCTACGGACATGTTTTACATATTTGATCAAATTATGCAGCAAAAATTAACAAGCAATGCAAACATTTCTCAAAAACTTTAGATTTAATACCAGTTGGAGCTCCATTTAATTATTTTAATTATATTAACAATTAATTTAATTAATGCTAATGCCACACGGACACTCTGGATTGCTGTTATTGTTTATTTCCGCGTTTTTGACCGTATGTTTTGGTGAATGGTGGGCAACTGATTTTTCCAAGCTCTGCGTTCTACTTGATCAGAGTCTCAGAGTTGAGACAGCAGCGCCCAAACCCGCAACAGCTCCGGCACCTTTGCGCACAGAGAACTGCTTTTTTAATCTTCCCATTCTGCTGTGCTGCGGGTTAATACCAAAACTTTCTAGCAGCAAACGACGGCTCGTTCACATGGTCAGAGCAGCGAGTGACGAGCCGCGTCTCACAGGTCTTCACAAAAGTTTAAATACAAGTGATGTGTGTGGAGCTGATCCCGAGGACCATAAACACAAACATGTTCCATGTGGTTTGACTGGAGCCGTGTATTTGTGCGAATCCTTTGGGCTCCGTGACACAGAGGAGCGCGACAGACCGGTATGTGTGTGTGTATGTGTGTGTGTATGTATATGTGTGTGTGTGTAAATGTAAGCTCCAATGTAGTTCTGACTCGCGCCAGTGTGCAACTTTGACGGTAACAGAGGGGAGAGATGATGCGTGTGGATGTTACGTATGGAGAGGGGGAAAGTGTGTGTGTATGTGCGCGTGCGCGCGTGTGTGTGTGCGCGCGTGTGTGTGCATATGTGGCGCGTGCGGCGTGAGAGTCGTCCCGGAGTTTATAATACATGGGCGCACACAGCTAGATATGGACCCGCTCGTCACATCGTGCAAATAGGGCTTAAAATAGCGTTATTAAGAGACCTCCCCTCTCCCCTTTTTCTCTTTTTTAACCGACAGCTTTGACCGGTTAACACTGTGACGGTCAACCACCGGTTAAACGGTCGCCGATTTACATCCCTAGTAGTTATGTTTGCATATAAGCACAGAAGTAAATATTTATAAAGGGTCATGTAAACTAAGAAATGTAAATATTGTAAATAATAATGATTGATTGATTTTTTTAAATTCATTGGAGCAGAAATTTTACAATCAATATTACTAGTGTAGGGTATGTACTTATATTGCTGATTATGTTATAAATTTAGTAGTGTGGAGCGGCTAGTCTCCGGATTAGGAACTCGCCGTTCCACCAATGGATCTGTCTTATTTATTTTGGGCACCAGCAGACGGTTGAGAGTCTACAACAGAACCAGGGTATTTGCCTCGATATCAGTCTTATGAATCTAATAGGTAGTGAATACTTTTATCTGCCAGGGATATTCCGAAATCTAACAACACGACTCTGATAGGATTGAGTTAAAGAAAAGAGGTTTATTGATTACAAAATGAAGGTAAAAATATAACGAAAAGGGATTTCTGGTCACATTTAGGTAGGAGTCGTACACATTTCATTCAAATTGCACATTTAACAAGGAACAGTCTTACTTTGGAGGAGCGTAGAGGATGTGTTTGATGGAAAGAGGAGGATGGAGATGGAGATGGGAGGATGAGAGTGAAGAATAGGATGGAGGCGATGTCTCGTCCACGTGGTCTTTGTTCGAACAGGGAGCAGGAGGAAGCCGGCAGGTCGGGTCCAGGCGTGGGTTCCACACACGACACGGTCTAGAATAGCGTTGTGGTGGGGTGGTCCAAGGAGCCCGAAAGTGGCGATAGAAGGTCCTCGTCTCCGACAGCGAGAGTGGTTGCTGTCCTCGTGGATGTACAGGCCCGAGATGGTGGCGGGCGTAGGCCGTGTAGGGGACACGTACCAAACGGGATAGTTGTTATGATGAATTCGGGGGAAACAAGAGAAAGTACAATGGCTTGTGGGTGCTTATATTGACTTCCCCAGGGGAGGCGTGTCCATGCCTCCCCTCTCTGTGGACAGACCCCTTCACAACAGACATTTTGCAAAGGAAACACATCGGATTGATGCAAATGATCATAACACATGTACAAACACACACCGTATTTCATTACTTTGACATCGATACACACATGTGAGGTCTGTAACGGTTATCAATCATAATATCACCGAATAATGTCCTTTGAGTGTCCGCCTTGGGTGTGATGGCGTCCAGTATCCACTGGGGGGCGCCAGAGGGCCGCGGGTGGACCCCTTGGTCCGTGGAATGCATTGTGACAATGCTGATTCGTATCAGATTCTCTGTTGACATGAAAAAGGCACCAGATGGGTATCCCGCTGTTTTATGGGTCCGTCTGGCGTCTGTAATCCTCATGATGGATATCTGCTCCTGTGGTTGAACCCCATGGTTCCTTTGAAGTTGTATCTCTCCATTTGGTCAATGGTAAACAGAGCGGACGGCTCGGCCCTGTCCTCAGTTTAACCTTACATACCCCCCCCACGGCAGAGATGCACCTTCCGACAAGGTGCATGTCATGTCGGATATGCTGTGGGGTTGTCCTCAGTCGGTCGTCTCACCTGTTCGGGTGTTAGTGTACAATTTGTGGTGACATGTTACAACATTCCCGTCTCAATGTGACTCAGTAGCTAGCAAGCGCCTAACTGGGGCCAGGCTCGTAGCGGTTGGGTCTCGGGCCTCTGGCTTGGTCTGTCGAGGCCGGGTTTTCTCTAAGGCGAGTCCTGGCCCTGCAGGCTAGTTCTAACCGGGATCGGGGTTTTAGGGAGTGAGCTCCGGCCGTGAACTCTAAGGTTTGGGCCGGTGTGCCTGACTCCTGGGTCTCTTGGTCTGGAAGACTCAAAGTTCCAAGCCAAGAGAGTGGCAGGAGTTTCTACTCTAGGGGACTAGGATACAAAAATAGGAAACTTCAAAAATCCAAAAAAAGGGTGGCTGCCTTGGCAGCGGGTAGGAGCGTCATTAAGGCACTCGATGGTGAGGGGTTCCCATCTTGCTCGTTCTAAAAGGGGAGTGTAAGGGTTACACGAATATATGACGTAGCAAGTGGGGCTTTAATTACAAGGGACATTTCCTGTATATAAACGGGGATGACAGGTATGATTGTCTAAGAGACTGATTAGGTATCGAGGTAGTTTGGTTGGGTCTGAGCTGGTGACTCTTAGTGGGGTTTTAGGCCCTTGGTCCACCTTCCGTGATAGAAAGAGTGACCGTCTCGAGTTGGGTGACTTTGGAGGTCCTCGTACTCTGACTCGTTGACCTGGGGACGCCGACTTAAATTGCCACGCTCGACGGCGCTGTCGCCCCGGTTTGGTCGTTTACGGATCTGTCTCGTCATTGCCTCCGCGCATCTGTTAAAGCTATCGCGGAGTCGCCTAACCCGTCTATTTAGGACGAAGACCGTGGCTATGGCCAGGCCGTACCCGATTCCTACCGCGATGGCTACGACTGTATCGGGGGCAGACCAGGAGTAGGCCACTGGTTGGTGGTGGATGGTCGGTCGCTTGGCAATCTCTTGAAGGAGGTTGTCTACGACCGCAACGTCCACGGTTTGTGCCCCCTCGTAGGTGGCTTGGACTAGGGTGGAGGGTTGGAGTTCCAGAGCCCTTTTCTCGAAGAACTCTGGTACCTCGATCTCTGCCTCGTACTGGTTTGGGTACAGGTGGTATAGTGCCAGGTCGCCTATGTGCAGGATAGCGTCGGTTGGGACGTTGACCCAGAAGGTTTCGTCCGGGAGACTTACTCGGGACGAGGTGTCATGTTTGTCATAGGTCAGGGTCGCCGTTCTAAGGGGAGTGTTCACTAGCCATCGTGCCCCTACAATCTCTGCTCTGGTTTCGGTTATTTGCTTCCGAGAGGTGACCGTCGCGGGGCATCGACTCCCTGGAGTCATGGGCCTCAGGCCGCAGATGCCATCTGTACTGTCCCTGACGAAAGGTTTGCTGGGGCAGAGGTAATGGATGTCCTTAGTGAGAGTGCACATCCTTAGATTTGGCGTTAGGTACAAATTGGGGTTGCTGTCGTGGTAGGCTACTATGTCTGGCGTGTGGACTCTGACGTGGGCATTGTCCCTCCAGGTCCCTAGGTTAGTGATCCCTTTCAGTCGGTAGATTTTGTCGCCGGGAACTATCGGTAAGGTGACTAGGAAGGCTACCTCGCGGTCTAGAGGATTAACATAGATGGGGACTGCAGCGCCCAGCGTGTACGCTAAGTGGGCTTGCATGGGTGTTACAGCGTCCCGTGTGGCTACGGCTAGGATGTCCTCAACTAGCGATAGCGGCACGAGGTATGGCGGGATACGGCCCATGGCTAGGTTTTCGATGGAGGAGCTGAGGTGACGTAACATGTCCTCCATCAGCTGTGTGGTCAGCAGAGTATGGGCGTAGTCTAGTTGGAGGACGTCTAAGAGTTGGTTGACCGCAGCGGAGGTACGTTTAATCGCAACCTCGTGCGTGTTAAGTACTAGCATGGTTCCTTTCAGGGATTTTCCCAAGGTTACCACGTCGTTCTGTTGTTGGTCAAGTCTGGTTTTGACATCCTCGAGCTCAGAGGCCATTTCCTGTTGGTGGCGTCTGAGGGAGGATAGGCTGATGGCGTTTACCGTGGACATCCCTAAGCTAAAGAGGGTGCCCAGGGCGGACGCCGCGCCGAGGAGAGCCCCAATAAATCGTTTGGGTCTGGGGCGAGGGTCGCTGAGCTCTGTCCTAGTGATCGTGAACTTCTCTAGTTGCGTCAGCATGTGTTGTATGTCTGCCTCAGCGTGCTCCACGACCGTCTGGGTCCAGCGTGCACCTGCCCAATCTTTGAGTGTGACCTTCAAGGGCAGGTTCTTGCGGCAGACTTCACTAGGATTGAGTCTGACAAAGATTCGCTGTGTGTGGAGTCGGACGTCCGTGATGAGGAGCCCGGGTTGTTCTTTTAAAACGATCCCGGAGGCTGGTCCGGTCTCAATAATTTCTGGGGTGCCGAGGCCCAGTATGCAGGTCAGCACGAGAAGGAAAGTGGGCCACATGTTCTGCAAGGCGTGAAACAACTGTTAGGGGTTAGACAGAGACAGAGAAAGAGAGAGTCGATTAGTGCAGCCGAGAAGAGTGTTAGTGAGTGCTGGGCTAATCGTGTTTGAGGTCACGTGGTGTGTTTCCTAACTGGGGTTTGAAGTGTGCCCTGCTTGTCCCATGGGGCTTTGTTTGTGTGGTTTGGTTTGGCTGTAACGGGCCCATCTGAGGGTGGGCTCTCTACCTTTTGTGACCTCGATTTGGTGCACTGCGGTTGAGAGTTTGTTTCCCACCCTGTATGGTCTTGACCAGCGGGGTAGCGGTTTCCGGCGTGGTCTGGTGGGGCCGGTTCCCACGTGTCCTGGGGAATGTGCCAAGGTGTAATACCATACCTGGTTTTTGACCTGGAGGTGGTCCTGCGGGTCGGTCCTGTATTGGTTTGTCCTCAGGAGCCGGGGGAGTTTCACGTTCTCGTCACTCCGGTTTGGGGATACGTACCTTAGTATTTCGGTCTCCGTCCGGTCCGTCCTTTCTACCTGTTGTAGTGCCTGACGTGTGTTGTTTATACCTGTTTGTTCCGTGGTAGGTGCGTCATGGGCGTGTGCCAACATTACCCCCCTCATGCTTCGAGGCACCACGAGCACCGACGAAGTGAGTGTATCGGAAGCAGAACCTAACAGCCCATGTCGTATCGGCAGTGTGTCTTCATCACGGCCGGAGATTCTAAGCGTCGTGGCGACCATGGCGGTGGAGGGGCGTTCCAGTGTGGGGTCCGCATGTCGGAGGGAGGCTAAGTCCGACCTGTCGAGGTCGGGGGCCGTGCGCGTGGCGTTCGCGCAGGTTGTGGGCGTCCCCTGATCGGTTTGTGCTGCGGCGGGTTGTGGTCCGTTCGCGGGCGGCGCGTTTACGGAGTAGCGGTGGTTTTCGCCCAACGGGCGCGGAATGGGCAAGGGCTCCCGGACCTGTGTCCAGATCTTTAGATGTTGGTAGTCTATTAGGGGCTTAAATCGATTTAGAAGGTCCTGGCCCAATAGGAGCGGATGCGTGTTGAATGGGGAGATGTAGACCGGGTGGACCAGTGTCATGGGGCCTACGGTCAGTCGCATTAGAGCCATTTTACGTATGGTCGTATCTACCTGGGAATAGGGGTGTATTTCTAAGTCGCATGGCTGCGTTTTTAGGTGTCTGTGGGATTTACTGGCCATAGACTGTAACTTACCGAAGAGGTCTTCGCCAATCAGGCTGATATCGGCAGCTGTGTCCACAAGCGCCTCATGTTCCCATTGGTCTTCGAGTGTTACGGGCAGGTAGAGTTTCCCGTAGGTACCTCTTTGTTGTAGATCGCCAATGAATTGGCGGAACGGTGGTTCGCAGTTGGTTGTCGAGGGGCCGTCCTCTCGTGGGTCTGTGATGGAGCCTACCTGTATTACCATGACATCCCTCTGGTCGTAGCAGGTGTCCACCGTTTGTGCGCTTGAGTAGTCATCATTTAGCTCCTGTTCGCTGAGATTGTCGTCCATGTGGTAGGGGGCATTCTCGGCGTCATCCGACACGGACACTGCGAACACGTCGGCGTTGTCTGTCTTCTTCTCTCTGGCTTTGCGCAGGAGCGTGCGGAGGAGGGCTTGTTCCTCCCTAGAAAGGTTGTTCTTATTAATAGTTGTAGCCGTGCGGTCTTGGTGGGGCCGTTGTGGCGCGCGGTCTGTCCTCGGCCTGGAATTCGTTCTTCGGGTCCGCGTGTTTCTGGTTATTCCTTTGGGGTCCGTGGTTGGTTCCCCATTTGTGTTTCCGGGCCGTTGGTGCGCCCTCAAGTTCCATGTGGTTTTCCACGCTGTACACCGTAGGCTGGGTTTGGGGCTTTGCCTGTGTCTTGAGCAGATGTTTGCCTTGTGCTCGTGCCACCAGGGTCTTCAGTTGCCGTATGTCCTGTGTAAGGGGGCAGGCGTACACGCCCAGTAGCTGGCTAAGGTTGGGGTGGAGGTTTTGGAGGTACAGGGCCCTGAAATTCGTTTCTTCCTCCATCCCTTCGTAGTTTCGGTTGCCGAAGAAGGCCTGTCGCAACCTGTGGTAGTAGCATTCCGCAAGCTCGTTGTGAGCTTGTTTGACTGCCATGGCTGCCGTGAGGGTCCCGGAGGCGCCGTAGTCTGAGTATTCTGCTAGGATGGCTTTGCAGAGCTCGTTGTAGTCATGTTTTATAGCCCTTGGTTGCCTTTCGATGAAGTCATTCACCTCTCCATTGGACGTGAGTCTAATCAAGAATATTTTGTCATCTTGAGACGCGTGTGGTATGCGGTCGGCGTGGAAGTCGACGACGCGTAGGTATGACCGGGTGTTTGTAGGTATGCCGGGCCGGGGGTCAAAGCGGGTTATGTGTCTAGCTATGCGGTCGAAGTCGCGGTCGGATGGTCCGAGCGGGTCTCGACCTATCGGGGGCGCGTAACGGGCGTCGCGTCCTCTATAGTCCGGGTAGTACCGTTGCCCTGGGGTCAAGTCCTGGCGTGCGTCCGGGGGGGTGCTGTGGGGTTGTCCTCCATGATTGGGGAGGTCCCCGGCGTTCCCATGGAGGGTCACTGGCCGTTGTGCCGCAGCATATGCGGGCGGCCCAGGCTCAGAGTACCGTATGTCGTGTGGTCCATGTAGCATGTACTGATGTGGGCCAGGGGGGTCGTTGTAGGGTTGTCCGCCATGTTCAGGGCGGGCCCTTTCGTCCCAATGGCGGTAGTCTGAAACATGTCTCGTATGGACGTCAGGTGGGTCAGAGTCATGGGTCGGGTAGTATGTTGGCTGCGTCGCATGTCCATGTGTGTTCCCGGGGGGCGACGTGGGAGTCCCGCCCTGGTTGAGGTGTCTCCACCGTCCCAATGGCGGGCTGTTGCGCATGGTCAGTCCGTGTGTATGGGTCTGGTGGCCATGCGTTTCGTGTTTAACGTGCCTGTGCGCTGCGACGGGTCCGGCCGGGGGTTGTCTCTCATAGGCGGAGGGGTCCCCGGGGACCCGTGAGCGGTCTGTCACGTGGTACGTCGCCTGGCTCGTCGGTGGGTCGAGTCTGGGGTCAAGGTGGTCGATGTGTCTAATGTAGTGTTGAGGGTTGGCTGTAGTTGCGGGCGGTCCCGTTGTATGGTGGGGGTTGCGCGCAACGTGATCGGGTTCGTCATCGACGGACCGTTGGGACCTGTTCCGACCGTTACTGTTGGGTTGTGTATCGTGCCTTTGACCTTGGTTCTGGTCTTTTCCCGTGATGATACTTACCAGTTCGGCCACGCTCCTGCGTTCACTCTCGGACGATGGTCCGCCACGGTCGGAGTGAGGGGAGTGTGCGCCAGAGGCACTGTATCGGCCGGCTTCGTTTGAAGTAGCGGCCCCGATTCTCGCTGCGCGATCTAGATCCATGGTCGCGTTTGGGATCGTGTTCAGTCCCGGTTGGTGGTTCCTACTTACCTGTTGGATTGGTTCCAAGCGGCTCGCGGCGGACCTCTTAGCTTCCGCTAGTTGCCGTTCCAGTTCACCTACCGTGTCTTGAAGCCTTTGGTTCTGGGCTTCGGAGTCGCGTAAGGTTATTCTGGAGACCGTGGCTAGCTGTCCCAGCCACTGGGTCAGGGTCTTACCTTCAAGTTTCTTCGTTATAGCCTCGGATGCCAATGTGGAGGTGGCATCTAGTAAGTCAGAGGGTGAGCCGTGCTCAAGCATGTCGTAGGCCCCTGGGGATAACTTCTCTGTGAAGTCGCGCAGAAAGTTATCCACTACGTCGTGTTCCTCCACGACACTGTCGTGCTCGCTCGGTCGTGGCGAGTTTCCGCCATCGGTTTCCATATTTGTGTGGGTGAGTGTATGCGAGTATGATTTGGAACGTGTGTGCATGACACAGTGGGAGGATGAAAGGAGGAAAGCAGTGCTATAGAGCGGGTAGTACAGCTGTAGTTCGTGCGGTGGTGCAAACCTTGGTGTGTGTCAAAGCCGTGACTACAGCGTCCTCTCCGTGTGGCGGTGTATGCGAGTGGGCGGCCTAGGACAGGGGCCGGGCGTTAGTACTTCTTCACCTGTGTGTCAGCGGAGAGCGTTGGGGTTAGTGGCTTTGGCGCATGTAGGGTTAGCAGTGGCGCCAGCGGTAGTAGCAGTATTAGGGCGCGGCGTTAATCCGCAGCGTGGGAGACGCAGCGTGAGAGACGCAGCGTGAGAGACGCAGCGTGAGAGACGCAGCGTGAGAGACGCAGCGTGAGAGACGCAGCGTGAGAAACGCAGCGTGAGAGACGCAGCGTTGGTTCGAGACGCAGCGTGGGGCGCGGCGTAGCTTGAGACGCAGCGTCGGTCTGAGACGCAGCGTGGGGCGCGGCGTAGCTTGAGACGCAGCGTCGGTTTGAGACGCAGCGTGGGGCGCGGCGTAGCTTGAGACGCAGCGTGAGAGACGCAGCGTGGGAGACGCAGCGTGAGAGACGCCGCGTGAGAGACGCAGCGTCAGAGACGCAGCGTCGGTTCGAGACGCAGCGTGGGGCGCGGCGTAGCTTGAGACGCAGCGGGGCGCGGCGTAGCTTGAGACGCAGCTCAAGTAAGCAGTAGCAAAAGGCAGCAGGCTGAGCGGCAAGGCAATGCAGTTTTAGTGATATCACGTTGCGTGGGGCAGGAATACCGTATTAGACTTGACCAACGCAGCGATGTAGCCTAACAAATATGTTTTAGAGGAGACGCAGAAACAGAGTGTTAGTTTTTGTTGTAGTACCATCAAACATGGAGTTTGGCAGGGTAGAGTGGCTATTAATTGGAGCAACAAAACAGCATGGAACAAACAGCCAGACAGTGTCAATGTTATCACCATGGGCAGCAGTGCGGTCTAGCCATGGCATGCAGGAGGGGCAGAATTAAAATTGTTAGTTTTAGTTATGTATAGCAGTAATGTGTTCAAATAGCAACATGCGCTAGAAGTAGCAGAGTTACAGCATGAAACTTGGCCAATGCAGTAATGTAGTCTAACAAAGACGTTAAAGAGGAGAAACAGAAACAGAGTGTTAGCTTTACCAATGTATGGCAGTAATGTGGTTATTGACAAAACAATATGACATGCAGAAGGAGGGGCGGGATTAAAGTATTAGTTTAGCACAATCAAACATCAAGTTTGGCAAAGTAGAGATTTTAGTTGGAACAGAAACAGCAAGGGGCAACAGCCAAAACAGTGTTAATGTTACAACCACGGCCAATCACTTGATCATGAGACGTGGTGCAGGGTAAAATGTCAAGACAGCAGCAATGTGGCCCCGGAAGTGGTGCACCGGGACCGGAAAGCGATTCTGTGTTAGACAATAAAAGAGGTGCGGCTCGTTTAGCAGTATGCAGAGACGGGTTAGCACTTCATGATCGTCAAAACACAGAATCAGAGTGAGATAGGATAGTACGAGAGTGTAGTAAGTGGTGTTATTGTTAGACAACGGGTAGGCAATGCAGCAGAATGGTATTAGCAGTGGGGATGCGGCTCTGGCTTTTAGCACGCCAGGGCCGGAAGTTAGCCGTATGCTAAAAACAAAGGAGCGTAGCTAGCCTGTAGCTTGCCGGCAACGGGCGTTTTAGCAGCAGTTTAAGCAGTAAACAATGAGTTTTAGTAACTGAATGCAATGTGGTTAAACAGAGTAGCACTAGTTTTAACGGTAGAGGAGCAGCTTATAGTGTGAGCAGTATTATGAGCGACGGCGTTGTCCAAGTGTAGCTTTGAGGCTAGCAGGCCCGAGCGGAAGTTAGCCTTATGCTAGAACAAAGGAGGGTAGCTAGCCGTTAGCTTTCGAGTGCGGCGGGCTATCCGCAGATTAGGTAATGAACAGTCCGCAGCGAGTTATACGTTCGCACAAGCACGTATTCACAGTGGTGGGATGGCGTCTGTCTGTATTGTGCAGTACAGTCTTGGTGTGTGTATGTACAGCAGCAGAGTAGCAGGAGGAAGAGTGGTGAGACAGAGTTAGCGTTAGCCACCTTTAGCAGGACATTAGCATCACATTCACACAGCTGCCATTTACAGCCTTTTACACAGATATATTCGGTCACAATCCTGTGTGACTTGGGTCACAAAGGGACACAGTAGGTTCGTGCGCCCGTGTTCTGGACACGGGCGCACGGTGGGTTACAAGGACAAGTTTTTGCGCTTTCTCTTAAGAGTTTAAGCGGCTTCACACTCCACGCTGCCCGCTGGCCAAGCGGGGCGACACGTTGTAGGAGATGCGTAGTACCCGTACGAAAAGTCGGGATTTGAGACTAAATTATATAGTCTGGTGCATGCACGGGGGCGCTATACGCTAGCGAGGGCGCGGGGGCGCTCAAATTGTTTTCGAATTCACCATAGCAACGGGGCAGAGGAGCAGAGGGGGTGCGGGAGTGGGGGGAAACGCTTTGAGCGTAGCAGCAGTAGGGTTAGCGTGTATTAACCGGTCAATTCACAGAGTACGAGTTGATAAATCAGGTTATATACGCGGATCTCACAAACAGGGCACCAATATGTAGGGTAACTACTTATATTGCTGATTATGTTATAAATTTAGTAGTGTGGAGCGGCTAGTCTCCGGATTAGGAACTCGCCGTTCCACCAATGGATCTGTCTTATTTATTTTGGGCACCAGCAGACGGTTGAGAGTCTACAACAGAACCAGGGTATTTGCCTCGATATCAGTCTTATGAATCTAATAGGTAGTGAATACTTTTATCTGCCAGGGATATTCCGAAATCTAACAACACGACTCTGATAGGATTGAGTTAAAGAAAAGAGGTTTATTGATTACAAAATGAAGGTAAAAATATAACGAAAAGGGATTTCTGTTGCACATTTAACAAGGAACAGTCTTACTTTGGAGGAGCGTAGAGGATGTGTTTGATGGAAAGAGGAGGATGGAGATGGAGATGGGAGGATGAGAGTGAAGAATAGGATGGAGGCGATGTCTCGTCCACGTGGTCTTTGTTCGAACAGGGAGCAGGAGGAAGCCGGCAGGTCGGGTCCAGGCGTGGGTTCCACACACGACACGGTCTAGAATAGCGTTGTGGTGGGGTGGTCCAAGGAGCCCGAAAGTGGCGATAGAAGGTCCTCGTCTCCGACAGCGAGAGTGGTTGCTGTCCTCGTGGATGTACAGGCCCGAGATGGTGGCGGGCGTAGGCCGTGTAGGGGACACGTACCAAACGGGATAGTTGTTATGATGAATTCGGGGGAAACAAGAGAAAGTACAATGGCTTGTGGGTGCTTATATTGACTTCCCCAGGGGAGGCGTGTCCATGCCTCCCCTCTCTGTGGACAGACCCCTTCACAACAGACATTTTGCAAAGGAAACACATCGGATTGATGCAAATGATCATAACACATGTACAAACACACACCGTATTTCATTACTTTGACATTGATACACACATGTGAGGTCTGTAACGGTTATCAATCATAATATCACCGAATAATGTCCTTTGAGTGTCCGCCTTGGGTGTGATGGCGTCCAGTATCCACTGGGGGGCGCCAGAGGGCCGCGGGTGGACCCCTTGGTCCGTGGAATGCATTGTGACAATGCTGATTCGTATCAGATTCTCTGTTGACATGAAAAAGGCACCAGATGGGTATCCCGCTGTTTTATGGGTCCGTCTGGCGTCTGTAATCCTCATGATGGATATCTGCTCCTGTGGTTGAACCCCATGGTTCCTTTGAAGTTGTATCTCTCCATTTGGTCAATGGTAAACAGAGCGGACAGGCTCGGCCCTGTCCTCAGTTTAACCTTACACTAGCATTAGAATACACAGTACTTTATACTTGTTATTGATGCTAGAGTTAGAGATTTTATTTTATTTGAATTAGTATAATTATTGTTCACTTATCTTGTGCTGCTCATTCCTACTGCTCTGTAACTTGTGATGCAACGCTGACATTTCCCCGCTGTGGGACGAATAATCTTAATCCTAATCTTAATCTGTTGCCAGTTTTCACGGGTAATGCCGTAGCCCAGGCTCTGCTGATCAAAGCGACCGTGGCAGTGGAGAGTGCCGTGTTAGTGTCCGTGCAGTGGCTGGCCAGAGTCAACCCCTCCACTGGGCTGCTCTACACTCTCGCAGAAGAACTCCGGAGTCAAGTGAAGAAGATGGCGGGTTTTTTTCAGCTTCTGATCCAGGTAAACATCCAAAATATGTCGGCTCATAACGGCCCACAGACTTGCATAATATACTTTTGCTTTTCAAGGCACTTACCGTCAATATATTAGTCTAAAATCACTAGAAACAGATTTTTAGCGGCGTGTACTTTGGGCGTGGGGATGGCTACTCAAAATGCAAAGGATTGATTGACTGGTCTTAGCTTTGAGCTGTTTGAGCTCTGTCTATGGAAATACACAAGCAGAGGGAATTCTCAACCTTGAGCCCCAAACAGCACATGAATATATGGAAAATAAATCTCAATTCCTTACCAGCTCTAGCATCTAAACACACAATTTTGCTCCGCATTTCAGATGTGCACACATTGTGTAGCATTTTAATTTGGACGTACTTGGAAGTGTTTGCATGTTTGAGTGTTTGCTGTGGATCACCAGGGCATAAATTAGACCCAGACTAAATCTTAGAGGAGACAGTAGCTTAGTTGGTAGAGCAGTGGCTTTTGAGCCTGAAGGTTGTGGGTTCGATCCCACCAAAAGACTTTCTCCACCGACTCCCACTGATGTCTGCTGTCGTTGTGTCCTTGGGCAAGACACTTAACCTCTGGGAACAGCAGGTGCTACAGTGGGGCTCTGGCTGTAAAGTGCCAAACTGCCGTTGTGTTCTTAGGCAAGACACTTCACCCCCATTGTCTAGAATGAGTCTTATTTACTTTTGGACTCTTTGTGATTCTGGTCTGTGAAAGGCGGTATACTTACTTACCTATTTACTTACTTACTTACTTACTGGTTGGTGGAGACACATACTGGTTTCCTCGCTTCTATCAGAGAGGGAGAGACCAGAGAGGGAGAGACCAGAGAGGGAGAGACCAGAGAGGGAGAGACCAGAGAGGGAGAGACCAGAGAGGGAGAGACCAGAGAGGGAGAGACCAGAGAGGGAGAGACCAGAGAGGGAGAGACCAGAGAGGGAGAGACCAGAGAGGGAGAGACCAGAGAGGGAGAGACCAGAGAGGGAGAGAGACCAGAGAGGGGGAGAGAGACCACAGAGGGAGCTATGGCTACAGTAGTAGTTTATCACCACCGTGTATGGAGTGAATGAATAATGACATGTAAAGAGTCTTCGAGTGTCCAAAAAAGCGCTTCATAAAACCAATGCATTATTATTATTATTATTATTATTATTTATTATTGTGTGTGTTGCAGGGTTGTGAGTCTGAGATCAGCTCGATGGTGACAGAAGCGCGGAGGAAGAGTAGCCAGTGTCTGACAGCAGCGTTGGTCACGATGAGCCACTTGGCAGCAGTGACAGACATGCCTCTAAATACCATCTCCCTCTCTGCACACGCCACTGGCAAGGTGATCTTACTTATGTCTTTCTACATAAAAGCAATCACAAATATTCATGTTTTTTTAACCTGTTTTCCTCTGTTTTTTATCACAGACGTCCATCACTGCGTCTCTGCTGAAAGGAACCAGTAAAGGACTTCATTCCCTGTTAGAGCAGAGCCTTAATGTAACCAGAGAGATGATGCGAGAGGCCCAGCTGGCATGTCCCCGGAATCCAGTAGGACCTTTTCCTTTGTTTTTGTTTTATTGATTTGAAAAGGTCAATTTTTCTGGGTGTACGGCAGAAGGTTCATAATTATCAGTCTGAGTCTCCTGTGTTTGGGCAACTCTGAATTAGAAAAAGAAATGTGTGAAGTCAGTTTTTGTTTCACATTTCAGTCTTTTCTGAATTGTTTTTGCTGCTGCTGGCGATGTCTAAAGAGAGTGAGACTATGGAGAGGAGAGAGAGAGAGAAAAGGAAGAGAGACCAGAGAGAGAGACCAGAGAGAGAGACCAGAGAGAGAGACCAGAGAGAGAGACCAGAGAGAGAGACCAGAGAGAGAGACCAGAGAGAGAGACCAGAGAGAGAGACTAGAGAGAGAGACTAGAGAGAGAGACTAGAGAGAGAGACTAGAGAGAGAGACTGGAGAGAGCCTTAAAACGCCATGTTCCAGCTTCTTCCCTCTGACAGAAGATATCGTTCTGAGATGCAGGACATCCTCTTTCCACAAACTGACAGTATGATGTTCTTATACTTTTCTACAGCTGCTGCAAAGTCTGAAATCCATGATACTGGACTTGGCTCGTGCTCTTCAGAACTTCATGCTTTTCCACATCACTGTACGTTTTTGTTTATTTATTTTTTTACATCAAACATGGACCTATGGTTGTCTGGGGAATGCTTATCTTTCTTAAATTGTTTTGTAACAGGGACTACAAGAGAATGCAGAGGAAGAAGAGTCTACGTCATGTTGCCTAAAACTTAGGACAAAAGTGACCCAGTTGTACCAAACTAACAAAGTCATTAGACAGTTGAATTCTGCTTTATCTGCTGCCGTTCGAGGTTTGGATTTTATTATGTATTTTTGTCTGTATGTGCATGTTTCAGCAGCTTGTTTTGAGTGTTATATATTGGGGACTAATGTGTGTATGTGTGCAAATATTATATATGATTTTTATTGCTGTACAATTGAAAGTTTTCTTGTTGGAGAAAGAGAGGCCAGAGAGAGAGAGGCCAGAGAGAGAGAGGCCAGAGAGAGAGAGGCCAGAGAGAGAGAGGCCAGAGAGAGAGAGGCCAGAGAGGGAGAGGCCAGAGAGGGAGAGGCCAGAGAGGGAGAGGCCAGAGAGGGAGAGGCCAAGAGGCCAGAGAGGGAGAGAGGGGGTAGAGATCAGCCATGTTCCAGCTTCTTCTCTGTGGCAGAAGATATTGTTCGCTGAGATGCAGGACATCTGGCATCAGTTTAAACAGAGCACTTAAAATGATCTTGCATTTGTACTGAAACTGTTTTAGTTTGATCAATTTCACAGTGACTTTTGTGTTTGTTTTGTTTAAATTCTTGTGCTTTTAACCTTGTTTCCAATGTGGTTTTACTGCAAAATGATTTTTTTTGTCGTCTCCGCAGGGAAGGACACAGATGTTTTGCAAAGCTCCAGAGACCTCATTTCTTCTTCCGCTAAATGTTTAGATGAACTCATTACTTCTCTCTTCGAGGACAGGAAGGGGTTGCAGTCGCCCACTTCTTCTAAAGACCTTTACAACGACATTCACATTGCCCTTCGCTCTCTGTGCACTTGGTCTCAGCAAACGGCAGAGGACACAGCAGACACTTCAGACGGGAGTTTAGAAAGTGATGCATCCGGGCAACAAAGTGCTACCACTCACAGCACTGTTAGAAATAGGATTTATAGTAAAGTGGTGTATGCTCTGCCTTCAGGTGCTAAAGTCGGAAGCCCTCGCTGGGTGTAATTCTTATTTATTCTGATTTTTAACTCACTTTGTATAACACTCAATTGCTTTGCAACAGGTACAATCTCCTTTATAAACAGAGTATTATGCTTTTTTGTGTATTCCATGTTGGATTTTATCATATTTATGTTTTTATGTACCTTGGGGTCATTAAAGGTGTTATTCGTTCATGTGTACTGTCTAATGGGACAACATAAAAGATAACAAGCGATCATTTCTTCCATGTAATGTACTTGTGATGCGCAGGCTCAAATGTATTCTGTAAAGGCAATAAACAAAACAAAACAGATGCTGGTGTTTTGTTTTCAGGCTTTTTGTAACTGAGGAATGGTCGGTGGTTGAACTCACTTTTTATGTAGCTCCCTAAAAACAACTTCACCGTAGACAGGGGGCTTGCGCAAGACTTGAATTTTGAAAAACTTATTTTCCAGACCTTGAAAAGTCTTGAATTTTGTGTGAAAGTCTGAAAGTATGGGAAAAAATGTATGGTCAAAAAATATTTCTAATAAACACAGTTGGTACAATCTCAGCCAATGAAGTCGGCAGTAGGCACACAAGTATACAAGTACATAAAGTTAAGGTCTTGGGGAAAAAAATCAGTTTTAATAAAGTCTGGAATTTTTAGAAAAAGGGCAAGCACCCTGTGTAGAATGTCACCTTTTTATTGCTAAGATGCAAATCCTTGTCCTGGATTGATACAAAGAAAAAATGTCAAACTTTTTTAGTTTTCCAAAATTAGTATTCTGCTATAAATTATGTTTTTATTTATAAAAATGTTTTGAATAATGGTTTTATTTTATAGTTTGTCCCTGACTTTTACACTTTCATCATAACATGTGGTAAACACTTGTTCACACATTACATTACATTATTTGTCAAAAATAAAGATAAAACCTCAACGTGATTTCTATCAAAGCACCAACTGTACCTTTGGATTTTTCTTATTCTTAATTGCTGCAACTACAACAGTCAGGACAGTACGTTAATATAATACATCCATGGGACAGCACTGTTAGCATGTAGCATTGCTAGCCATGTCGCAGTGTTAGCATGTAGCATTGCTAGCCTTGTCGCAGTGTTAGCATGTAGCAGCCTTAGCATGTAGCAGACCCAAGTCCAGGAAAAAGTCAAGGTAAAGTTTGAAAATTCAAGAAAACATGGATTTCATTTCCAAACACGTTTTATTTATTTAAAATATACTCCTTTTGATTGTTTTGTCAGGAGTTGTATTTTGTGTGTATTTAAAGCTAAAACTAAGACTAGAGATTAACATGCTAGTAAACATACCAATACCAATGCTAACGTGACATTTTTCCATTTCCATCACATTTTATATTCCATCCATCCATTTTCTTCCCCTTAATCCATTTCTGGGTCGGGGGGGTGGCAGTCAGAGCTGCACCCAGTACACAGAGCACCAGCCCCTCACTGATCCTCCTGCAGGTGGTGAGTCCACAGGAGCTGAGATCAGTGTTGCCAACTTAGCGACTTTGTCGCTAGATTTAGCGACTTTTCAGACCCCTATAGCGACTTTTTTTCAAAAAAGCGACTAGCGACAAATCTAGCGACTTTTTCTGGTGTTATTGGCGACTTATCTGGTGTTTTGGAGACTCGTGAAGCACGTATTGTTCTGCTGTCCTCAACGTGAGCCCCTCCCCCGTCCCAAAGCACTTACAGGCGGCCAGTCTCACAGTAGCCTTGCGCAGCAGTCCCAGCTACAGTCTATGGGCGGAGCAGAGAGAGAGAGAGGAGACTCAAAAGCACAGGAAGTTTTCAGGCTGCTGCCAAGCCCCGGCGATCCAAGATGGCGCCCTATTCAAATGAATGGTTGTGCTCAGTGGCGCTTTGTGACGGCATGGGGGCTGAAAGATTAGCGGAAGTTGCCTGAAACTCGCAAAGATCTATGGGAAACTCGCCTGTATTTGGGCATAGTCTGGTCCTCCCGGTTCTGCGCAGTGGATGATCTCCCATAATGCGTTGCGCCAAACACGCGTGTGTGGGTCTCACACCGGGTCTCACGCACGTGCACAGAGGGGCTCGGCCGCGCTCTGACCAATCAGAGCAGTTCCTCAAAGCGGGAGTTAGAGCGAGAGCCAGAAGAGCAGAGTTTGTGGCACTAAAGTGTGGATTTAAACAAAACCAAAGGATTTAAGAAGAAAAAAAGTTCAGGATGACAAGGGACACTAAAATCCCCACAAAATCCGATCTTTATGAAAGCTGTAGGTTCTCTGTCAGCTGAGGTTGAGCTGTTTTAATATGCATTGAGTTCTATGGGGAAAATTTCTGGGTGGCCCACGTGAATTTAGTCTGGTTCAGTCTGCAGTACCGCGAGAATCCCCTGAGCACGTGAGTTATTCAGCTACAAGCTAGTAATACCCTATCCAGTTAATATAATACATCCATGGCTGCTGCAGACTGAACTCCAGCTCCACCACCACCACACATCCAAAGCTCCCCGGCCACTCCTACCACCGCCACCCCCCACTACCCCCCACTCCATCCGCGGCAGCTCTGTCCGTGACTCTGTTTTCTCTCAGTAGTGGGTCACATTAAATCATTTGTTATGCCAAACTATGAAAAAAAAAAAATACTTACAAAAATAAACCTAAGTAACTCTGCCAGAGTGTGTCTTTTGGGTCACTTTGCCGGTCCCAAGCCCGGATAAAGGAGGAGGGTTGGTTGTAGAGCTAGCAATTTCACCCTACATAACAATCTTTTGATTACATTTGCTGTTATAACATTTAACAATACAGGACAAAACTGATGTGTGTAATGTGGATCTAGACAAAGCATTAAAATCATTAAATGTTGTTAATGTTGAAATTATTTTTGTACATTTGTAGTTCTAAACATATTTAGGGTGTTTTTACTCACTTTTGTCTCTCCCACGACCTTATTCCTCTCTCCTACAGCGTCCGTTACAGTTATTTGCAAATGGCAAATTATGCAAATTAGGCGATGACGTCATTTAGCGACTTCTAGCGACTTTTGGGACAGCCAATAGCTACTTTCCTTACTGAGGAGTTGGCAACACTGGCTGAGATCTTTCAGTGAGGGCTTCAGGCAAAGTGGGGTTAAGTCTCTTGCCCAAGGACACAACGACAGCAGTAATCAGTGGGAGTTGTGAAGTAGGTCTTGTGGTGGGCTCGAACCTACGACCTTCAGGCTCAAAGGCCAATGCTCTACCAACTGATTGAAATAAAAACATGTTTTTACTATCAAAAAGGGATACTAGACATGTAACTAAAAAGTTTTGTAAATAGATCATCTGGGTCTGCATTTTTTGTATTATTATTGCAGAACCAGATTTGACCATAGTTAAAAAATCATCCATGTATTATTCAAGACCATGTGATCATTTCTAAAGCCTATATATTTTATTTCATGATTATTTTTGAAATGTGAGGAGTTCTGTCCATAGACTGTATATATTAACTCAAATTCAAATTTAGTCAATTTCGTTCTTTTTAAATAACGTTTTATGGCAGCTATAGGCCCTTTTCAAAGGGCTGGTTCTGGTTCTGGTTCTGGTCCAGTTTGATTTTCCACCAGTGAGAAGTCAGTACCCGTTACCATAGCAACACAATTTACTTGCAGCAGTCAGCATTTAGTCTTTATCATCAGTCTCTCAACAAACATTTTTTGCTGTTCTATTCACCGGTTTTAGCTTATACAAAATCTTACAAATTACTTGCTTTTAATAAATCAGGTGGAAAACTCTAAATAAATAAAAAAAATCGAAATCTTTTGGGGAGCTGCCTTGAAGTGGCTGTCGAGCTACCAGCCCTATTGGCGGTGATAGGTACTGCAGTCTCTGGATAAACTGACTACTCCCTCCTCCGTTCAGCTTCACCGCATCCTCCCACTGCAGCTGGACGCACACGTCTCTTCACTAATGACTGGAGCTGACCAAGACTTTTAAAGCTGAACAACCGAAAAACTCACACGTTTTAGTTATTCGTGAATAAGTTTTGTTTAGATGCAGCTCTCGCCCTGGGCCTGGTCATTGGAAAGACGTGGATTCGAGGTAAATGCATGAAAGTCACTATTCGCCCTATTTTGAAAACATGGACATTTGACAACACGTTTACTTCTGATATATGTATAAATACTCTACTTGTTTACTTTTCAGAATGCATAAAATAATTCGGACAAAATTAAAACTTCTTGTAAGTAGCATTGACGAAAACGTTGTAGGACGTTCTTTGCCTTTTGTTTTGATTCTGGTTCTGGCTGTCCTGGGAAATTGACTATTACATTTAATTACAGGTTTTCCTCCAGAAGATTTTATCAGGTAAGTACTTTTAATTGTCTCAAACTGCAAATGTTTGTCTTCTTCTTTTAGAAGTAGTGGGTCGGTTATAAGTCAGGACAGGAGCCCAATGGTAGTGTTGAAGACTTAGAATTTTTACTACCCTCAAAATGTGCATATGTTAAAGTAATAAAATGCAAATACATTTTTTAAATCAAGCTAGAGTAAAGCTGGGGTACTTATTATTAAACTTTATAACTGACACGAGGTCCAGATAAGAAAGACATCACACAAAAACAAATGTATACTTAATTTACAAACTACAACAAATGGAACTATATGATGAAATCCATTTAACTTGTTCCTCTCTAGTTTTCACATACTTTTGTCACATTTATAGATAAACTTTGTGAAACTAGAGGGGATGACCCTGACTTGGCCAATCAGCTTTCAGGGGTCTTTCTTAAGTTTACAAAACATGTTACTTTTTAAGACTGTTGGAACCAATATTTTTTCTGTATTGTTTGTAAAACCCCAACTTCAATTATCCCAAATTTCCATTACTCTTTTTAAACACCTAATTCGACCCACTTTTGTTAATGGCTTTCTTGTAATTGCGACCTGCTCTGTCCCTTCTTCATTTGTGCTGTTTTTTTTCTCTGTTTTAATTTATTTTTTCCCAAAATATGGCTTGTTGGTGTTGTGTAAAAAGCTGTTTTAGTAAAACACGACACTTTAGATTTTTTTAGAAAAGAGAGGTCAGCAATTTAATGTGAGAATTATAGTAATTAAGTACGTAAGTAAGTAAGTAAGTAATCTTTATTTATATACCGCCTTTCACAGACCAGAGTCACAAAGCAGTTTACAATTAATATTTTTTACAAATATTATACAGTGACACATAAAAGTACAGCACTTGTACATGTTGGATTCATGTATTTATATTACTGGTATCTTACCTTTGTTGTGATAATTGTGGTAGCAGATGCTTCTGGTTGAAATGAACATTTATCTTTAACATCAGTAAAATGTCCATGAACCTCCAGGGATTTGTAATTTCTAAACTATTTGACTATATTTGCACTGTCATTCATAAGAAAACAATCCATGTCCAAATTTGTTGTCGGTGGAAATAGTGCTGGGTCAGTTGCTTTAGTGGCTAACTCATATGCTAACTAAAGCTACATTGGTAATAGAGGTAAACTTAGCTAGACACTGGTCTTTAGCATCCTTGTTGAGTTTCTGCCTGTAAGCTTTGTTCTCGTTCTTATTTTGAATGTCCATTTTGCTGAAAAAATTTGCTACCCCCCAGTATGGCGCCCAGTTGTGCTTTGGTCACATGACTAAAAAGAGCCATCCCTATTTAGTAAAATATAGTCTATGAAAATATCAATTCTAAAGGTGCTTGATTGTAGTTTTATGACATTGTCCTTGTAATGACACAAAACCTTACCATGACAAGTTACTTAAATAATGTAAGCCTCTTGATTTCCCAACATGTGACAGTGAAGCCTTTTGATAGCACATGCATTAATTCAGAAACATACAAACTGTAAACTCCATTTCATTTTACCAGCGTTTACGGCTTCACATGACGAAACATACTATGAATACGTCCCAGACCAGCTGCAGTGGGACGTAGCAGACAGACTGTGTACCCAGCGTTCAGGAGCTTTAGCCTCAGTGTCGGGCTCTGCAGAGATGGGAGAACTCACTACCTTCCTCCAGTCCTTGGACATTTCTCAGCCCGTGTGGATTGCCAGGAAAACTGTAGCACTCACACAAGGTAGGCCCACGTTGTCATTTTAGTATATTAGCACTCGTTTTTAAAATATAGTCTCTGTATATATTCTTTTCAAACAGTGGATTTGTTTAAAATGGAACTGACAATTCTGGCATGAAATTTTAAGCCACAGTGTTTACAGTAAGAGCACGAGGACACAGCGGAATTTTGTTGCATACTTTCCAAGACGAGCGCCAAACTTTGCACTAATGCCTGTTTTCCCTGTGTGTGTGTGATGGAATTAAGATCCCAAAAACCTCATTCTGGAGTTCGCTGGGCGGTCGGACACGAAGAATGCTCGTCTCAGGCACAAGTTTACGACTATGGACTCCATGACAGTTTGCACCAGCCTTCGCTTTGATCCAAGTTGCTTTGGAATTTCCACTGTCTTTTCCTACTCCATTCCGTCAAACATAAACGAATTCCAACTACGTGCAAACCTAATCAAGGCAAAGCCCGTGCAGCTGGCTCTGATGGTCCACGGCATCCACGGGCCTTACCATAAAGCCTTTGAGCATGATGGTTCTTGGCACACGGTCTGTGTTTCATGGAGCCACATCGGGGGACACTGGGCGGTGTTTGTGGATGGAGGTCTAGTCTCTAAGGGCGACGGCTTACACAGCTCTAACCACATTGGGTCTGATGGTTTGTTTGTTATCGGACAGGAGCAGGACACCTTTAGGGGTTCGTTCAAAAAGCAGGAATCGTTCTCTGGAAGCATCACACAGCTACACGTTTGGGATCGGGATCTGAACAGCCAGGAAGTCCTTGTCACTATGGAAAACCTGTGTTCACCGCCTTCTGGGTTTGTGTTCAAATGGAGTGAAGAGGCCTTGGAAATAGAATCCACAGTCGCAAAACAGTTTAACACGATGTGCCAAGGTACGGGTCAGTATGGATAGATTTATTTTTTTTCAAACCTACAGAACACAATGTCACATCTTTACACTAAAACCGGTTTCAACACAATAATACACAGAATACAATGCAATTAATCAACATATTATGATACAAATTTGATACTGTGCAGCACAAGCCGTAGTGTACCATACCTAACCATGGGGTAGAGATACACGCACGCAAGCACAAACAAACGCACAGACACACATACACACGTACACACGCGCACAGACGCATGCACACACACACACGCGCACAGACGCACACGCACAGACACACGCACGCACAGACACTCACACACATGCACAGCTAGACACACGCACAGCCACACACACACGCACAGACACATACACACGCACAGACACACACACGCACACACAAGCATGCACAGAAACACACACACACGCACAGACACGCAGGTACACACACACACACACACCAGCCCAAACCCTCTCTGACCCTACCCCTCTCTCTCATCCCCTGCTCTGTGCTGAGGGCATCACTGTCTCTCCTCTATGTCCTTCTTCCACTCTTCGTTCCAGGGAGAAACTCCTTACATTTTAATGTAGTTCTAGATTTAGGTACATATAGTTTTTAATCTTAGTCTGTAACTATGGAGAGCATCTCTGTCATGGCATGTATGCATTCATTTGTAAACGCAACTTTCTGTTCAGCTTTTGATTCAAAGCTTGTGGGTGGAGTTGCTAGCACATTGCAGAGACCATCTGAAAAGACATTTTGGATTGAATTCTTTGCTTGAATCATGCCAAGATTTTTTTTTTTATGTTTTAGCTCCACCTATCAAACAGAAACCAGATGATGAAAAGCATATGCATATTTTCCAAACTAATCGGATCTAATGTACAACAGCCTTTCATATTTGCTGAATGTTTTGTGATGTATAGGATCCTGGGCAGTAGAATTCTCCAGAGTGTGTCCTGCTAATGCCTCTTTATGACACTGGCAGAGTTTGAATCCCACTTTCTCTTGAGTCTGTGCGTAATATGAACCGGTGACTATAGTAATTGGCAACCGCACCGGCTCCCTAATGGTTGTAAATGTTTTGTGAGTCACATCATTCAAAATCCCACCCTTAAAAACAAACTTGCACTGTTCTGACATCATTGTCCCCAGTGATCCATCAGGGCCCAGACACGTTCTCCAAGTTTAGGGGAACTCCGAATGTGCACTTGAAATGTACTTGAATTGAAGGTATTATTGTTCAAGTTGGCAGAGATGACTAGAACACATCCTGTTCAGATTAAACCATGTAGACATTAGTAGCAGTGGACAATTCGACAATGTTTACCCCAGTTTTCATGGACCCAGCAAATACATGATGTGTCCAGGATCAAAAACATTTAGTCATTTTAATAGATGGCTCCAACGTAGACAGAGTATTGAACTGAATTATTATTATGTTTAAGGATCGTATTGGCCGATGTTTGCCTCCACCGTTTTACCAATCAGAAAGTCTGTGATCCGGGCGCCAGAACTCACCACGTCAAGCTAATCTCACTGGTAAAGTACCATGTGGCCGCTGAACTAAAAAAGGTTATGATTCTCAAATCATTAACGACAAAACAAGGAATAAAACCAGGATTTCTATCTTTGTGAAAAAGGTGTTGGTTATAGATTTGTTGTCTATTCAGCTGTTATGGTCCCAGCTGGATTAGTCTGCATATTTGGCAACCTGAGTCCAGGAGAGTGGGAGAGGCTGCAGTACCCTTTTTGGCCACATTTTTACTTAGGCTCCTTTATAACAAAGAATCTCATTGGACGAGAAGCATGGCGGTCACAGCGACTGCATGAAGCTGAAGAAAAACTGAAAACTGAAGCCGCCAAAAAATATATATGTAGATAACAAAAAGACAGTATCTTAGGACAGTGGCTCAGTTGGTAGAGCCTTTGGACCTAGAGTCTTTGGACCTAATGGTCGTGGGTTCGAGCCCACCACGATCCATGTCACCTGCTCCCACTGATGTCTGCTGTCGTTGTGTCCTTGGGCAAGACACTTAACTCCACATTGCCTGAAGCCCCCGCTGAAAGACCAAAGCCAACTTCCCGTGGACCCACCTGCAGGAGGATGAGCTAGAGACTGGTGCTGTGAGACTTGGGTGGCAGCTCTTGATTGCCCCCCCCCCGACTCAGAAATGGATATATAAAGGGGAAGACAATGACACATAACAAAAAGAAATAACAGCTAACCTGTACTCCTAATTGCTGGACATTAAGTTTAATTCCAGTGGATCCCTCAAAATTCTAAACAACACATTCATATCTGGATCAGCTGTAGTGTACTTGTTGCGTAGCCTGTCCATCACTAACTGTATGTTTTTCTAATCTAAATGCTATAGGTAACTTCAGTGAGATTGCAGAGTCAATTCTGGGGCTGCAGGATCCATTGCAAAACCAAAGCTTGTCTTTCAAGTTACTCACCAGTTTGCCGGTGGTGGAACAATGCGGCGTCTTTGATCCAGTTCGGCAAATTCTGAATCAAACGTCATGTGATCTGTACCAAGTGGCTGTTTGCCAATTCAAAAAAGGTGCTGCCAAGTGCTCGCACCCCTTTACTACAGCGAGGACCGACCCTAAAGTGTGCGAATTTATGTTTTTATTTCAGAAGCAGTTGATGATTTTATTTTTCCAAACACATCATTGTTTTGTAGATGGAACAAAGATCGTCTGTTCCAAACTGTGAGTGGATTTTACTGTTTGAAATGAGACATAAAGGATGTATATTGAGAATGGATTTTGGATTCTTCTTTTTTCAGGAGACGGGGGGATTGAACATATCGTTTCGGAGAGATCTGGTCCTGCAGCACTTGCTTCAGTCTGTGTTGCAAGACTTTGAAACCGGGGTTCAGTCCACTCTTTCCCCAGAGGATGTTGTTTTCCTGCTGAAGGGAGTCGAGTCCGAACCTCCTGCGGCCACGGCTTCAGAGGTTTTGGTGTCTATCGCTACAAGCTTCATTAAACTGGCCAGTCTTATGCTCGAGCCCCACATGGCGGCTCAGTGGATGGGGCAGACTGAAGAGACTGTGAGTACTTTCTCTAGAGAAGGGTCTATATTTTTTTTATCAGGGTTTGTTTTTTCTGTTAGTTAGTACCATAACACTAATCAAGCAATCAATCCATCAAATCTTTATTTTTAGAACACATTTAAAACAACCTCGGTTCACCAAAGTGCTGCACGGACTGCACAAAAACAGCACAAAAAACACATGGGCCAGATGACCTCCACAGTCACCAGACCTGACCCCCGTCCAGACTTTAGTTAGATTATATTAGTTCGATTAGATTAGTTCAATTCTATTTGTTTGATTTTATTAGTTTGATTATTTAAGTTTGATTATTTAAGTTTGATTATATTAGTTTGATTATATAAGTTTTATTATATAAGTTTGATTATTTAAGTTTGATTATTTAAGTTTGATTATATTAGTTCGATTATATTAGTTTTATTATATAAGTTTTATTATATAAGTTTTATTATATTAGTTTTATTATATTAGTTCGATTATATTAGTTTGATTATATTAGTTCGATTGGTTAGATTATTTTGTAAATGTAGAAAATGTTTTTAATTGTTTATATTTTCTGGGTTTTTTGGTTCTTCAGGCTGGTTTAGGCCCATTCACTGTGGTCCAGACCATAGACAGACTCACTGAAACTCTCGCTGACAGGTTCTCGAGAGAAAAGAGAAACTTTACGCTCTTCACCAGAAACATAGGTAAGACTTTGAAGAGGTGGGTCCCAAACACCCGACTCCATCATTTGTTTTGTTCCAGGTGTTTACATCCAGTGCCAAAGTCTTTCTAATGAGAGCAGAAGTCAAGTATTTAAACCTCCGACTTCTCAGGACGAGCTGCTCATATCGGACTCAGAGCTTCAGACTTTATTCACTCAGGGTAAGAATGTAACTGAGTACATGTAATCCCAGTATTCAGAGTACTCCCTCTGAGTGACTGTATTCCACTACAGTTACTACTTTAGATTACAGACGTGACGTACCCTGGTGGTGCAGTCGGATTTATACACGGAGATAGTAGAAGAAGAAGTGCTGTCAAAATGCCATCTTTTTGTGCGGTGTACACTTGTAGCCACCGCACAAATAGAGAGAAAGACAAGAGTTTCCTCTGTGTTCCAACTCTGGTCTCATATAAAGGAGGACACTTTGAAAAAATCACTGGAATGAGGCGGCGAGGTGGATCAAGGCTTTCCCAGATAAGCGCCCCCTGCAGGCCATCCCAATGAAACACAACAATTTCTCCTGTTTTTTTTTTCAAAAAATGCCCAAAATCAAGACTCTTTAGAGAAATATTTGTTAGTACTCCCTTAGAATTGAGTGTCCCCGATTTGTGTAAAAAAAGAAAACATTGTGTTTTCTTGAAGTGAAGATTGTATTTTCTCTGTTGTTGAAAGTTGAAGCTTTTGACTCGTTTTAGAAAAATAAACAACAAACCATTGAGTAATTACATGTTTTATATATTTAAACATTTATTGAGGCTGTAGTTTCAAATATTTAGGAATTTACCTTTATACGTTTTGTAAATAAACATGACTTTACAGAAAATATAAATAATACAAATATAGTAATTAAAAGTATAAATAAAAGTATTCTAAGTATTCGGAAAATACAGGTATTACTTTTTACAAAGTAACAGAACACTTTACAAAGTCCATATATGTTGTGTATTCTGGTCAAATTCTCTGCTGCTAAAGTACAACATACACATCTGTAAATGTCTCTGAAGCAAGTGCAGTTATCGCTCCAGAGTTTTATTTTTTACAATCTTATTACTTCCTATTTTAGATTTATTATCTTATTAGAGTAGAGTATTAGAGTCTTATTTGCTTCTTTTGCTCTAATGTGCAACAATTTCCCCAATGTGGGACGGACAAAGGAATATCTGATCTTAACTTATTCAGTATAGGGGAACTGAATACGTTTTCAAAGTATTCTCGCAACACTGTCTGACCCAAACACGACCATTTTTACATTTTAGATTTTTTTAGACATTCTGCATTGATTCAGTACCAGTGTCGTAACCTGCCAATTCAATATTTCTACTAAAACTGAGATAGAACAAAAACAAAAACTTGTATTTATTAGTTTGAGAATACCATTACAGTTTATACCCTAAACATGTGTATTTTATTTACTTGTCAACAAACATACATTTTCCTACTAACAGGATATGAAGACGTTATTCTCATCCACACCCACTACAGCCGTCTCAACCACATCTTGTCTGGAGCTGAGCAGAATACAGCCCTCCATGATGACTCGCCTAAAGGTAATAAAAGGTAAGATATTTTAAATATACAGCATTTTAACATTCACATTCTTTATGATCCGGATACAATACATGGTCTTTTCAATCAATTAGAATATTTATTGTCAAGATGAATGAATAGACTTAGATTGAGTACTATTATATTTATTGATATGCTTTGGCAATTAGACCCCGGCATGACATATGTGGAAGGGAGTTTAATAGAAATTATGAGCTTGCGACCCCCTGGGGCCTAGAACCTGGTGGAAGAAGAATCTGAGCCAAAGACATAACATGATACTGCACTGAAGAGGCGGTGATGGGGAGGAGGAGGGTTGCTGCTCAAACACCAGCTTGAGCTGCAGAGAACTGAGAGGCTCTGTTTAAAATGCAGCCATGAAGTGATGACACAGATGTGTTACTGAGGGGGAGGAGCCAGTGTAGAGGGGGGAAGCCAGTGTAGAGTGAGGAGTCAGTGTAGAGGGGGGAGGAGCCAGTGTATAGGGAGGAGTCAGTGTAGAGGGAGGAGTCAGTGTAGTTGTTTATGATGACAGATTAGGGCCCTTTAATGATGACAGATTAGGGCCCTTTAATGATGACAGACTAGGGCCCTTTAATAATGACAGATTAGGGCCCTTTAATGATGACCGATTAGGATTCTTTAATGAGGACACATTAGGACCCTTTAGTGATGCCAGATTAGGGCCCTTTAATGATGACAGATTAGGGCCTTTAATGATGACAGATTAGGGCCCTTTAATGATGACAGATTAGGGCCCTTTAATGATGACAGATTATGGCCTTTAATGATGACAGATTAGGGCCCTTTAATTATGACATGACATGAGAATTTTACATATTGCTACTTTAAGATAATTTTCCTGTGGTTCCAGAAATGAGCCTCAGCATCTGACCTCTTCTGTCATATCGGCCACAGTTCGAAGCGGAGTCGTACCAAATAACATCCCAGTTACAGTTCATTACACTCTTTCCACTTCTCAAAAGGTACTGGTGTTTTTGTAAAATAAAAAATGTTTGTTCTTGACTGTTTCCTGTAAATTTTGCACGACAGGTCAGGTCCTCTCAGCAAACAGTTTGTGCCTTTTGGGATTTCAATCTCAGGTAAGAACATCTCAGAAATGCGTTAAAATTTGACTGTTTTTGTTAACTTTTCATTCTTATTGCTTCATGTTTCCACAGACAGAAGAGCAGCTGGTCCAGTGACGGTTGCACGTTGGTCTCAGCAGATTCTGAGGCTGTGACGTGTCGGTGCAACCACACCACAAACTTTGCCGTACTCATGAATTACCTTGAATCTGAGGTTTGTGAAATATACTACGTAATATATACAGTCTACATTTTAGGCACTTCACAGCTGCAGCAGCCCATCTGAAGTCTCCCATCACAGCCCTGCCCTGCTTAGCTTCTGAGGTCTGCCAGAAACAGGCTTTCACAGTGATCCCCATTCTTGGTTAATATATTTTTTTATTGTACATTTGTTAATGTTTCTTTAAGTCTTAGAAACCTCATATGTGGCCATACTTGAATGTGAAAGCCAGATCCTGTCAGCTCTGACGCTAAGTAGGACAGGGCCTGGTTAGTACTGTGATGGGAGACCTCTAGGGACACCCGGGGCCACAGTGGGGCGGCCGCGGCTGTAAAGTGCTAAACTGTGGTTGTGTCCTTAGGCAATGGTTGGTGGTGGGAGGGGCCGATGGCAGAGACTGGTTGCTTCGCTTCTGTCTGTGTGTCCCAGGGCAGCTGTGGCTAAAGTTGTACAATATTGACATGTAAAGTGTCGTTGAGGGTCGACACTTTACATGTCGACCCTCTTTACATGCTGAAAAATACTTCAGGCACACTCCAAAAAGATTCTTGTTTTAGGTTAATTTGTCCTGGATTCCCTTGATCTCAATGGGGCTTTCCTGGTCAAATAAAGATGAAAAACAAATAAAAAATCTAGAATTTGGATTTTAGTTAAAGGAACAATATGTAATATTTGCATGTCAAGTCATCATTAAATGACCCGAATATTTCAAAAGGCATTAATAAATCATGTTCTTTTCAAACACATCTTTAACTGATAACAGTAGTTCATCCGAGATATTTGAATATCAAAATTAGTTTTACGACCCGTAAAAGTTGTTATTGTTTTGATTTTGATGTCCTACCCTCCGCCGTTTCGCCAATCAGGAAGTGTCATGTAAGTCCGTGATCGGGTGGCCAGAACTCCGTGCGGCTCACTAATCTCAGTGGTAAAATAACATGTGGCGCAGAACTAAAAAAGGTCTTGTTATGACTCTCAAATCATTAATGACAAAACAAAGACTAAAACGAGGATTTATATCGGGACGCCTTTGAACAATTGAGACAGCTGATAAAAGTTTACGTGTGATGCAGAATTTGCTAGTTTGAGTCCGTTCTTCACAGTGACTCTAACTGTGTGAATCGGTGGTCTAGTGGTCAAAGCTGTGCGCTTACAATGCAGGAACCCGGGTTCGATTCTGGGCTATGTCTTTTTGTATTTATTGCATGTTATCACATTCTATGACAGATTGCTCTAAAAACGGTAAAAGACGAAGGTCAAGACGTTTTTTTGCAGATTATAGCTTAATTGTAAAAATAATCATTTAAGACCACATGTACCCCAATTAAAATAATGTTAGTCTCTTTTTGATGTGGGACTTTTACATGTTTGTCTAAAATATAGGGAATAAATAAAATTGAAAGGTATCCTCTTGAGCAAACCCTGATGTTGATACGCTGAAGAAATACGTTCCAACATCCATTCTTCCCACTCCTATTTTGGACATCAATTGCTTATGTATTTTGCATAAACTATGTATAATTACATTGCTTTTATTTTGTTTTTGTTTTTTATCTCAAATGTCCAAATAATAATCATAAAAAAACGTGAATCAAAACATTCATTCAGCATTAGCACGGCTGTCATGGCAATGTAAATGGAGACGGACAAACAACTGATAAAATAATTCCCTGTGTTTGCTGCTGGATTTGGTGTGAATCTGGCAACCTGAGTCAGGGAGAGTGGGAGAGGACTACAAAATATTGACTGTGACTGCAGTACCACTTTTGGCCAGATTTTTACATATTGTTCCTTTAAATTCATTGTTCTCAATATTTATTTGACGAGCACATATCACCAGAAAAAAAGAAGTAGAAAATCCTCCTATCTTTGGTCCTCAGATTTCAATACTGTAAGATTTCTACAGCAATGTGCACCAGACATTTCAAAAGGCTCACATATAGTTTTTTTACCCCATTCTACGACGCTCTCCTATGATTATTTGTCTCCTGTATGTGTTTGTGTTGCAGTGGAGTCCGGAGGAGGAGCTCGTCTTGACCAAACTCACATTTATTGGTTGCGGTGCGTCTCTTTGTGCTCTCGTGGTGACCTTGATGCTGTTTACGGTGCTGGAGTGAGTTTCTTTTGTAGACGCCTCCTTTTAAGCGTTTCTTTGACTAACTCTCTGGGTAAACACCGCTTTGGCTGCACCAACATTTGCATATCATGATTCATTTTCTTTTTTTCTATCTTTTACAAGGAAATCAGATGCAAAGTGTGCATTGAATAGGGGTTATACACTCACTACATCAACGATTGGAAAATGATCATGTCTTATATTTGGGCAGTGTTTAGACGGAGACACTGAGAAGCAATTAGCAAAAAACAGACTCCGAAGTCCTCAGCGTTTACACCACGATAGCCTGGCCTTATCCATCCGTACACTCCGCTCAATCATCATTTCCTACATTTAACGTCTGGGTCTGGTCCCTTTGTCTGCGATTACAATCGGTTGAATTCCATTTGACCAATCAGGGAGCGCGGGAGGCGGGTGTTGTAGTTAGATGTGGGTGACATCAAGAGTTTGCGCCGAATGGGCAGGTTGTAGTTTGGGAAAGAATACGATAGTTAAGTAATCCGGTCTGGTTCTATCAAGAAATTGAAGCCGGAGCAAATTTAATCGCTGGCAAAGATTGTGGCGCTACTCCCCATAGGCTCCGTTAGCAGCAAAGGAGATGGCTAAAGCTAGGCTAAATACTAAAGCTAGGCTAAATGCTAACGACTCACTCAGGCTCATTACATACGTCACGGTAAACTCAGATCCAATTGTTTCAATCTGCAAAAGGAGTTAACCCCTCCCACCTGTTAACGGAGTCAATGGAGAAAATCCAGACCTTAGTACCAAATGTAATTTGTACTATGGTGTGGTAAGACCAGGCTATCACCACGACAGAAATCATGTATTTCTAACTTTTGCGGCCAGTAGGGGGCAGTGGAGCTTTACAACACGACACATGCGACCAATCGTTTCAATCTGCAAAAGACTGAAACGGAGCCCAATGAGAAAATCCAAACCTTAGTACAAAATTAAATGAGTACAATGGTGTGGTATGGACCAGGCTGATGGACCGCCTGAACCTGAAAACCTCCAAAACATTTGGCACTGTAGACTGATCATTAGTAAAGGCACCATGCTGCCGACTTAAAGTCAAATTTGCAAAATCAAACATGTCTTTTAACGCCTCTCATTATTATGATAGCACAGTCACACATCTTTGTAGGTTTTCCTCCAGGTGCACCAGTTTCTTCCAGGTGCTCCGGTTTCTTCCAGGTGCTCCGGTTTCCCCTACTACGAAAAAGCTTCTCCTACATGCTCTGATACAGTCGAAAATCACATTGTTTGTATGACTCATGACTTGAGTGACATAATTTTCCAACACACAGAAAAATTCAGGGCGGGGGTCTCTAATCTTTAACTCAAAGTATTCAGGAATTTAACACTCAGAAAAAGGGCACTGTTCTATAGTTACCTTGACCATAGGTAATAACATCGCTAACCTTATATTGTCTGGTAAAGAAGAACCCAAAACTTTTAATTCTACAAAGAAAACAAGTTGAATCTTCCTATACTTACAGTGCTTTGCGAAAGTATTCGGCCCCCTTGAACCTTTCAACATTTCGCCACATTTCAGGCTTCAAACATAAAGATATAAAAATTTGATTTTCTGTCAAGAATCAACAACAAGTGGGACACAATCGTGAAGTGGAATGAAATTTATTGGATAACATAAACTTTTTCAACAAATAAAAAACTGAAAAGTGGGGCGTGCAATATTATTCGGCCCCCTTGCGCTAATACTTTGTAGCGCCACCTTTTGCTGCAATTACAGCTGCAAGTCGCTTGGGGTATGTCTCTATCAGTTTTGCACATCGAGAGACTGGAATTCTTGCCAAAACAGCTCGAGCTCAGTGAAGTTGGATGGAGAGCGTTTGTGAACAGCAGTCTTCAACTCTTTCCACAGATTCTCGATTGGATTCAAGTCTGGACTTTGACCTGGCCATTCTAACACCTGGATACGTCTATTTGTGAACCATTCCATTGTAGATTTGGCTTTATGTTTTGGATCATTGTCTTGTTGGAAGATAAACCTCCGTCCCAGTCTCAGGGCTTTAAAGCTGTTTAATATTCACATACCATTGGTTAATGATGGAGCAGACAGCTGTAAGTTATTGGGGGAAGTTACTGGTGCCTGTTCTCAAGTGAGGAAGGAGTATTGACCTCTGCTAATCCAGTAATTACCTTTGTCTATGTGTAAGTCCGCTCTTGATGTTTATAGCACCATTTAAAACTCATTCATTAAGACAATGGCCACTCTGGGATGGGACTCAGCTGGAAAAGATTTTCTCTGACAATTTATGTCTTTGTTGCTTTCAGTCACAGCGTTCAGACATGCAGCTTCACTCTGTGTTTAGTATGTGTAAAATGTGTTTATATATATATATAAAAAAATGAGTCACTGTGTTTTCAGTATTCCAAAATCAGACCGAACATCGATCCACAAAAACCTCTTCATTGCTCTGATCTGTGCTCAAGTGATCCTTCTCTGCAGCGGCTCAGCCATCCACAACAAGGTATTTACAGAACTATGCAATAGATATTATTATTCTACACAGAGTATTCTGGGAGATGAGTAGTGTTTTTACCTCCATTAGTCTGACGATCTTTGACCTTAGGGTAAATCTGACTGAGAACTGCCCTTGAGACTATAATCCACTCTTATGGATTCTGTATTCAGGATTGCAGCAAAATACGACCGACTCCATGTCCCTCCTTTTCTTTGACGATCAAACTTTGTATATTGACTCATATTAACACTTAATGACAGATAGATACTTTATTGATCCCCGTAGGAGAAATGTATCGTGTTTCTGAAGTAACTTTCCCAACACTGATTATACTCAGTCCTGGGTCAGTAAGAAAGCACTGGTGTGAATAACCACGGTCTGTAACAGTGGAATCAGCAGCTGTGGGGGCTGGAAACAATGGGACCACTGTGAAACTATGATGCAGTAAACCTTTAGTTTAAACTCATAAAACCGGTTCTTACTCCTCAACCTCAGTTTATACGGGGAAGAAATGATGAGAGAGACACGTCCAAATCCTCTCTTTTTGTGGTGATCCTCTTTATCCTTTGAATCAAAAAGATCTGCATATTTAAGATTAATGAAATAAGTTTATTCAAGATATCAGTTATTGAAGTATCTTGTGTCTCTCCTGATGAGAAACACAATTTGCCTTTTTACAGACCTAAAAGACTTACAAGAATAGTCAATAATAATATAACCATGTCCATGTTTTAATGACTAATTTTCATATCTTCTAGTACTAACTATAGTCTAAGCTAAAGTAACAACATCAATTATATAAAATCTGATGTGGCCTTATTCTCTTATGCTGACAAAATTGCTTCCCTCATGTTTTGGACTAAGCTTGACTTTCAGTTCAGTATTTTCGGGGATGGCTTAAAAGCATCTAAATGTAAGAAAATCTACTGAAATACTTTCGAAGTTGTATCGAAGATTTAAAGTATGAATAAGCAAGATTGAGGGAATATATAAGACCCATAGGCATTGCAACATTCCTTTGCAGTATTTCCACATCCCAGATCACAATCTCCTTGCTGTCGAGAAGCAATAGAGACATCCACAGTTCTTCAATCAGGAGGAAATAACAAACGACCAGTGATCCTCATCTTTGTGCCGGAGTTCTGCCGAGTAGTACGCTCTGCCAAAAAGTGACGCTTATGAATAGCTCAGCTGATAATGATGTAAAGCAAACCTGCGCGCATGCGCGTCTCACGGCAGCCGAAACAAACCAAGATGGGGCGACAGAAAGTCCGTGAATTCCTATAAAAGTTCTCATACGAACGAAATAAGACACGAATGTCACTTTTAATGCAATTGAGGCGAGATGTTGATGGTTTCCGTGTTTGGCACATGTGGTTAAAGAGTCAAACATCGGGTAAAGTTTAGTTTTAAGCAGTCAACTGCACCTAGAAACCAACTATGCATAAGTTATTAAAGCAGGTCCCTGGCAGCTGACGTTAGCTGATGAAGCGTCACCTGTGGCCAACTCAACAGCTTACAACAGGATGAATGTTGATAATGGCAATAATAAAAATAATTTAATGCAAGCGATCGACCTGCAGCAGCACAGCTTGTGATGCAACACTTTCTGTCAGGTCAGTTAATAATTTTCATGGAATGAATTCGAAGTTTGCAAAAAAAAAAATATGGCCATTTTGGATAAAGGTGCAAACTTTTACTGTCAAACTCTGCTGCAGCTGATCCATGACAACAACCACAGGATTATTATCACCCGCTAACCACAAGAGATTAACATGCCATGGCCATGTATGTCCTTTGTGAAATGTAATTCATTCGTGGATTGGATGAATTTTGACTATTTTCCCAGAAGAAAGATCGTGGTGGCATCCTTCTATTAAAGAGATGAACAACACAGTGAGTAACATTAACATTGGAACCAATCAAAGGTTATATCATGGGTTTTAATGTTAGGTTGTGCATAAAAAATGGGCTGTGGTAATTGAATAGAATTGGTAGATTTCCTGCTGAAGGATGTAAAGTTCCCCCGCATTGATGTCAAGCTTTTAAATACAAGAGAAAACCCGTTTGTAGTTTTATTGTGTGTATCAATCAAGTCCGTGAGGCTGTAAACAAGTGTTATATTTTTAGAAAAGTAAGGAATTGTATTGACTTATGATTGGTATAGGCCCCAACCCAGGGACAGGGAGTTGTGAATTGGGCATCTGCTATCAACTACATTCATCACATCAGCTGGCAAGCTTGTTTATGAACTGTGTCTGCATTGTCCCCTGTACAAATAAATATAATTGATAATGTTGAAAGAGCGTGGAGACTTCATTTTCAGAAATCAATTCATTTGCAGGTGCAAATGGTCTCGTCGTCAAACCATGAAACAGACAAAGGGACCAAAACATTTCAGTACAAACTCGCAAACAGCAAATTACAATAATTAACATACGTTCCGAACACGAAAAACCAAATAAAAAATTCACAGGATCCCGAATTGTGAGTTGGTTAGCTGGTGGCACGGGAGACGACTGGCAGCCAGGATCATTCCTGCATGTGATGTGCCTCAGGATACGCGAAAGTCCACCAGATCCTGGAAGGCCAGATGCGTTGGCTTTCTGTCCTTGTCAGCCACTGTCATAATATATTTATTAATTATTGTAGTTTTCTGTAATGTTGTACCATATTATTTCTTTACCAAGTGTGGCTTTGCTGTATGCTTTCCTTTGGATGTACTTGGGTTGGAACATTGAATAAAGACCTGCCCTTTGAAGAATCTGTGCCCACGTTTGACATTTTCATTCAAGTGCAATGGTCCTGCCCAAAAAAAGCCAGCAAAAAAGTTGTCAATGTTAAACAGGATATGTATTCTTAATAATAATACAAAGAATAAGCGCTTCATCTGAGATGTTCAGGTGCACGAGACGGGTTTCAGCACATCTTTTAGGCAATCAGTTTGTACTTTAGCTCTTCTTTGTAGCAATGGGCATTACACTGAGAAAACAATGAATTTGGTACAAAGATATGTTATTGACTTGGCGTGTGACAATCAGTACACTATAGTCCGCTTCAAGACTTTTTTCCATGTAAAAACTCGCCTACCTACCTCATTGCCTAAGGAAACAACAAAAGTTATAATTTATAATGAAAATACAATAAATAGAATATTTACAACTGAGACATACCTGTTCTGTTTGTATGTCAAGCCCGGCCTTCTCACGTCTCAAGTTCCATTGGTGAGTAGCTTCAACATTTGGCATGCCCTAACAGGCATTGGAAAAACGTTAGATGCAAAGTAACAAATATTACAGACATTACTATCCTACCAGGTGAATCTTTCTATTTTTCCTTCTTCAAATCCTCCAAAAGCTTTGATTGTTGGGTCAGAAGTGCCATGATTGTCTCCTAAATAAAATAAGGTATAATTTGTCCCCACAGTGGGAAAATGTGATTGTTACTTATTTACTTACTACTTATTCTACAGACGAGATTGACATGTACAACCGAGCTCAGTCAGTTCTCACAGTAAACATGTCTGACAGCGGCATGAAGGAAATACCTGTATTTGCAACCTCATCCTTCACACATAAAGGATGAATAGCTCTCACCTGAAGCTGCTCACGAGAGCAGAGTGTCCTGCAGGGGGTGACAGTCATGTTCCCCCCACCTGCTGCACTGGGAAACAGCCCAAGACAGAGCTGAACTTACTGGATGACCTTGTCCAGACTTCTTCCCCCCGGTGTAAACCCAACAATTGAACGAATGAACTTACAGGATAATCTACAGGCAACCTCTGAGGGGAACACAGCCACCCGCCCATACATCAACTGGAATGGGGTGTGTTTGGTTGAATGGGCACCATTGACCTCAAAGAGAACAGTGTGGCATCAAGGAATGGTCCATTTGTTCTGAGCTTGCTCATTCACCAACTCTCATCAACAGCTCTGAGAAAGACATTTCCGGACATTGTTTTAAATGATGGGGGAAATTAAAACATTTAGGTAACTCCATCAGATCATATATTTAATGTGTTCTATCACATGATTAAAAATATACATATCTTTCTTGCCTCTTGATTTTGTTGGTTGGTCTGCTTTCCGTACCAACCCATTAGTCCTGTGGGTGTACGCAGGTGAGCCTGTGACGCTTCACTCAATGCCCCATCAGGGACACAGAGAATCATGAGCTAAAACAATGAAAAATTAAATGAAATAAGAAAGACTGAACAACAAAAAGTAACACTACAAAAAGCAATATCACCTCATTTACCAAAAATCCCGCCCCTTGAACAGACAGGATCCCGTTATTCGGTAAGCCCCATGCCAGGTATATTATAGAGCCAAGTCATTGCCCAACCTCCGCAGCCGTCTTGGTTTTCAATGGAGAAAGCCTCTACCCACTTTGAAAAATAATCAGTGGAAGTAATTAGTACTGATAGCCATCAGTAGATATTTGGGGAAGGGCCGCAGTTAGGTCAATCCCCAGCAGCTCCCAACACCAGCAGACACCTAACGCAAGCCAACAGGATTGTAAAGCATAAATTGTACAGTGTGGTTGACTAAGTAAACAATACAAATAACCTCTATAGTTTGGAGTGGTGCAACTGTACCCAGAGTCTTTCCCTCCACGTTGACACTTGGTCCACACTCATGACAATACTTAAAACGAACGAGGCTTTAGGAAGGGGAATTGTACAGAACAAATAATATCACAAACCCAATTGTCCAAGTCACACAGTCATGCCACGCCAGTAAAACCTGGAACAAATGGCATGTCGTGTTTTTTTCATCCCAGTAGAGGCCTCCCATGGGCGTAGCATGGAAACTCTTGAAAAAGTTCTGCGCCTCATGTCCCTGGTTCTAATGGCTCTTCTTTTGCCATAGAACAGCTCACCATCTATAAAAAATAATTTTATATGAAAACAAACAGAAGAATAATAAGACAAGGATAACCATACTAGCAAATGCATAAAACCCATTACAGTAAACTTAAGGGAGTACTTCCTACAGTTGGTCTCTTTGAAATTTATTACATCCTCAGATAAAATGTTCTCAGTGAGGAGGGAAAACAATTTCATCCCA